CGCGGACCCTTCCGCTAAGGATGCTAATTGACTCTTGAATATTTATGATTAACGAATTAGCAGCGTTGCAGTTCGTATAATCTCGCATTCGTGTCCCCAAAATCATTTCTTAATCCAAGCGTTTAATGCCCGGCTCGCCTCATTTAAATTCGGCATCTCATTTCGCAGTTCTTACCATCCGCCATTCCATTCGCACTTCAATCGATGGTGATTAATACCGATCCGGTGATTACACGCTGATTAATTAACTCGTTTTACATTTAATTTCGAACAGTCACGTATAGTCCTACTTTGAATAGAAAGTCTCTCTATTCGAGACTAATATAAGTTCACCGATTTGCCGATTCTCTTTCTCTCTCATTATGAATCACCTCGTGCATAACGTTTAAACGATATTATTGAAAGTTCTGCCGATGAAAGTTAATAAGTCCGAGCGCGCAGTAAAATCTTCCCCCCTTCCTCCTCTCTCTTTCTCTTTCTCTATATATTATAAAAATTGAAATCGTGGAATGGCGATGTTTCGATTATCATACACTGCACATATGCTGCCCCAGGTCGATGCATGCTGCACCCTGGCGATAGACCGACCGCGAGAGCGGTTGTACCATTATTAATAACCGATAAACCAATTACAATGTTATCGGATCGCCGTTATCTGCGAGCAGACCGCGTTAAAGGCCTATGCCAGTTCTGCCTAGTCGTAATCTGATGTGGAAGCCCCCCGAGGTACTCTCGCGTGGGCATACCTCGATGCCTTTTTGCCACTTTTAGCGATACTGCTTAGTATCGTTCTTGCGTTACTAATGAGCCCGTTGTCCGACCAGAGAGATGCACCTTACGCCTGAATTCCACGGATACGATGATGCGTCTCCCTCCGCGTTCTACGAGTGCATTCGCTCTTTTTGCCTCTCGTAGCCTTCATTTCTTGTGATAGACGTATTATAAAAATATCTAAATTTGCAATCCTCATTTTTGAAAAATTATTATCCATTTTTTTTTTCAAAACGCATCTTTATAACAGATCCCTGTCTTATAGAAATATAGAAAATTCTTATAAATGATAAGAAATAGAAAATAGGAGCGCGTAAAGACGCTTATTACGGTAAACTTTTATAGACAAGTCCAATAGAAATTTAATAATTGTAGATAATTGTGCATTAATCGGCGAAAAAAAATTCTCTACAACGTGAAACAGCATGCCGTCTCGATCATGGTATATAATTGAATGTTCGAATCCATGCGCAGAGAAGAGAGGCACGACTGGTCTAAGCTAAAGTTTTAAGAATGCGATCGTGGGGGGTCCTCGTTAGAGAGGAGCAGGGCTTGGATCGCAGCCCATATTTGCATATTCATGTGGCTCCAAATCTCGTTTGACGTACCGACAATCTAGAAGCAAAACTTCAAAAAGTAAAGTTGCAACGGTATAATTAATTTAATACAAAAACCTACTGCTAATAATAATTATTAATAAAATAATAATTATTATGCTAATAATTATTAATTTTAATAATAGTAATAATTTTCTTTAATGGACCATATAATGTTAAAAGTAATTGTACAATAATAATGTTAAAAATAATTGTACAATAAAGAGATAAAATTCCATATATTAAAAGGCGAGAAGTATTAACACGCCAAATATATTGTTTACAACACATGCCATTATAAATTTTTGTAAGCGACGTTAAATTCTTCAATCGATAACACGGCGATTTTAATTTTACTGTATTTACATTTACCTGCCGAAGAATGATATGTATTAAACTGAGGTTTCATCGAGGTCAGGGTCGTTCCAGAGAAACGACCTTTGATACTTGTATTGATAGTTCTTGAGCATTTCGAGATAGGCTTCGACACAGTCGTCATCGAACATCCGTAGTGAATAGAATCAAACAGTGAATAGAATCAAAAAGTAAGTCGTTTTCTTTATTATTATAATATTTGATTTTATTCAATACACAGCGTTATTTCTTACACATTTTTACATCTTTCGAAGCATTTTCTGTCTTTACTAACTTTTTAATCTAGACTAAAATTTTTATACGTTTGTGTTTCCATAAGATTCATGTTACTTATCGTAATAACGTCTATAATTTTCTTTGTAAAAGTAAATCGTTTACTTAATATTCGTCTTAATATTCGCCTAACCGGAAAAAAAATTTAATTAATTAAAACACATATTCTTGATTTTTTATTTGTTCTTTTCGTAAACGTATGTATCTTATTTCTCTGCGTAGGAGAAAGAAATGCGTTTTACGAACACAATTGACTTACTGTTCTCAGGTTTTACGCGAGAGATGTTTAAGATTACTCCCGTCTTTGTGTTTGTCACCGATTTGCATATTTCTGCAAATTGGATATACTCGGAACTTTATTGACATTCTCAGAAGTTCATGAGAGAATTTCATAACTAGAAATTGCGCGCGAACTGTACACACTGCAATATGAAACTTTATACCGACAAAGCCACCTCCGCAATGTGCTGAGTGGAAGGAGAATTATTTTCGCAAACGGAGAAGCACTTCCGAAGTTCCCAACTCGAATGGCTCGATTATCGAATACCGGTAATTATGCATTAGAGCCACGCTGTTGGCGTTTGCGATTAGTTCGGCTCGCGATTAAATAATTTCCGTATGACACGCACACGTTTAAAAAGGCAGGAAACTGAAAAAAAGTGTCGTTAAACCAATCGACGTTACGATTATGCTATGAGAAAAAAATGAGCGCATGTCTCGCAGGTGCACTTAGTGCGCTGAAAACTGCGTTCCAATTAAACGATCCCCGTATCTCTAGCTATACGCTCATGCTTCATAAAACTATTTTTACCTAAGAGCTTTTTCTCGCAGCTGAGACCAGTTATAATAATTGCGGTCCTAAATTGCGATATAACTTTCTTACGTTTGGCACGATTTACGGGCCATTTTTGCAGAAAAGTAATCCACGCAAATTGTCCTTTTTTGATATAATATTCAACGCTAAAACATAATTATCTTAAAGATATAGCAGGCATTAAAGGCACACTCTTTTTTCTCTGTTTTTCCGTTATACTTTATATATTAAATATAATTTTCTGATCGCGCTCCATCATTTTGCCGATATGATAGCTTCTAAATAAAAGATTTAGAATTTAAACACCTATTGAAATAAACAGCAAACGATTTTTATAAACGGTTGGAGAGCGCGTTATATTCGGACTGCTCCAATACGCAGAATAGTTGTATGTCGGCTTTAAACAAGGCGCAATACAAAACGCTTGTAATTACCGTCGCGTAAAATCGGTATCGATAAAATCGATAAATCACTTCTCGCGGGAATATTAGACCGGCTAGCCGATAACAGATGCCTGTATATTGGAGCTCGCCCATTCCGGATAGCAGGGAGTCACTCGCAGCTCTGCGGGCATCGTTCCAAACCTGAATGACGCCTACTCGAAGAAGTTACGCAATGATACGTGCCAATATAAACCGCAAAAACGCTTGCAAGCACGTTCATTCATGATTATCGTCACCGCTGCTGGACATTGCATTTGTTTCCGATTGACGTGCTGCTTTCCTTCCTATTTTTCAAATCAGTTTTTAGAATATTTTTGATTATTATAATTCAAATTTTGTTTTTTTTTATAATCTCAGTACATATGATTTGCTTTTACTACTATTTATTTTATAGTGACTTTTGCCTCATGTAACAGATCACTAAAAGTTATCTAAAGCGAAAGAAGTCATACGTGGTAAATTTTGAACATAAATTTTATTCATGCAATTTGCGAAATTGTGATCCATAAAAATTTTACATGTATCCCGTTGCGATAGAGTTTAGCATAAAATATTTTATAGAGAATGATACGATGATATAATGTAAATAAAAGCTCTATTTTTTATCGATTACATTTTCAACTATCGGCTTATAGGAAAGTTATTTATTTACTGTGGATTACACACTATTGTAAAAGCACTTTATGTTTGTGTTATTGGTTATTTTCAGTCTGAGATAAAAAGATTTTAAAACACCTGAAAAACACAAAGAGTTTTACGTGTTCTTATGTTATAAGTAACATATCATTTTGTGTTTTAAAAATTCCTCGTAGATTCCGGCAAATTTCTTCTTTTTCTCTTTCTTCCTCAAAGTGCTCTTTTCTTCAACTCGATGCGAATAATTTATCAAACTTCTTCCCGTCTTCCCGTTTAATGATGTAAAAATCTTTCGTGTTAATGGAATTAATAGATTATAATCTAAATAAATAGATTATAATCTAAATAATATAGATTATAATCCGAAAATAGATAATAATCTGAATAAATATATTATAAGGCGAAAATAGATTATAACCTGAATAAATGGATTATAATCCGCGCACGAAAATAGATTATAATCTGAAAACATATCTCGAAAGCTAAATTTGGAACAAATAGAATTGTTACTGAACGATCGTTCTTCTTCGATGATTTGATTTTAGCAATTCGCGAATCCTCATAAAAAATGAATTCCTTTCTTTTTCTTTTCCTTTTTTTTGTCTTTTCTTCGAACCGGTTATCTGATTCCAATTTACGAAACCAATTTATGAAACCTCGCAGTCATTTAAGAGAATCACTTTCGTTAGATGGAGGCAAGAATGCGTGTTCGATTCACATAAAGCTGCGTAATACATAACTGTCTACCGGCCTTTACTGACGTAAAGAGTCGCCAAACCACTTTGTTAAACTTGTCCCGTTGTAATAAAGTCCATTGACGCATCATCGAATTCTAGATCAAGATCTGTTATGCTGAATATAATTATAAATAATTAAATATATAATATAAATATATAATTTTCCTAAAACATGAAAATTATTTATTTATTTTACACACCTATATATTAATTTTTCATTTTGCGAATTTATTCTAATATACATAAAATTGTGTGTATTGTGTTTAGTTTATATTTATATACATTTATACTTATTTATTTGATTTAATATAAATTTTTTTAAAAATATATTACAAATTATAATTTTTCCTTGCAGGTCGCTGGGGCTTCTAATATTTCTTATAGCAGCACATGTGCAGGATACTTCCGCAAAACATGTAAGTCCATTTCGAGTAGTATTTATAACATAAGAACAAAGCATCGTGGGAGATATATCTTGAAGCCCGGAATAAAGCCACGACAAGGGCCTCAACGTATCTTGACGGCATTCCCTCAGGTTTTATTGCTTTCTCTTTGATGATGGTTCGGGTTTCAAGGCCTCCCGGTCTCGAAGCAGATTATCTTGGTACACTTTGTTCCTAGGAAATCTCCGAGACAATAGAGAACATGAAGATTCTGTAAACCATTACGACGTAACCAATAATTACAGATGGTCTTCGGTGCTAATCGCATCCCGTATTTCTTTTTTCTAAACTACTTAAACCACTTTTCTAACTTATTTATCACGCCCGATATTTTAAACCATTAATATCTTACTACGAAAGATATCTAAATGTTATTCTGTGACGTAAGACAGTAATATTCGATATAATCGAATATATATTCGACACTTTCTTTCTACATATGCGTGTATTTGCAAGCTCCAAAATTGATTTTGGCTTAGCTCCAAGATATCTAAATATAATACCATGTTACGACCAGATGTACCATTAATCGACTTTCGCGAGCTTTTTTCGAAATTTTTCACGCAACAATTTTTCATCGAAAAATTGAATTTATCCATCTTTATTTTTATTTTATTTTGATGACGTTGATTGGATTTCTCATGCTAATGATATTCGAAGATTTTTTGCCGTTAAATCTGATAATTTCGCAAATGCATGTTATCTCCGATATCATCTCGATTACTGTCGTCATTTCAGCCGCAAAACTCAATTCGCGGGGAAATAGTTCCGCAAGATCGAAAAGCCCGGCGATGCTGAAAGCGTAATGGCGAGATCAGATTAGGTCCGAAATGGAAGCTACAGCATCGCGTGAAAGTTTTCGGGATAAGGGGAGGGAATATCGTTAGAGGACATTCCCGTGATTTCCTCGACGGGGCAAGAAAATGGAGGCGTACGAAACGGTCCCTCCATAACAGGGGACGAAGGAAACCGCGGTAATCTCGTTGCATGCGCACGGTTGTTGTGTTTCTGTCGTGGCCGTTGTTTTACCTGCACCCACGACCCGCGTCCGACTTACACGGGAAATAACTTATGAGAGAGGTAACTCGGGATCTCTTGTTACACGCGGCATGTTCATCGGCGGCAAACCTTGGAGCTTTTTATACCCGAGCTTTCTACCTCGCCACGTCAGAAGCACACATCTTGTCACCTGAGACAAATTGTCAAATGCCACGCTTTTACTTGATGATATTTTATAAGTAATTTAATTAAAAGTAAAAATTTAAGAGCAATTATAATATATATAATTAATTAAATATATTATATAATTAAAATATTAACTATATTTAAAGCAGCATCTCGATAACGCGATGGTTTTAAGCATGCTGCGAATTAGCGGCTTCTTTCTTTCATATTAAAGCATATTTGCGAAATGCAACTCAACGCGCGATATAAAAGTGGGTTAAATGAACGAGACGTCGGTAAATGGGTTGCATTGTCGGGCAGTTGCAATTGCGAAAACCGTTCCTCGCAATATCTGGTTCTTCGACATTCCGTTCTGACAGAGGGAAATTACATTTATAAATTTGCCGCGTATATATACGCGCTCGAGTGGCGCTCCCGAGATATTCGCGAGGATCGGCAATGAGATTATTAGTCGCGGCACGAAGGGAAAGGGAAAAACACTACTGACTCATGGAGGCTTTTTACCATCATCAGCGCACTCCCGGCCAGACTGCGTGGCTAATCTAAGTTAAGTGGTCGTTACAGACGCGAAGGAATCTTGAAAACGTATCCGACAATCTCGACGCTCTCAACGAACGGACATTGCGAGGGTATGTCGTGAAATACGCTAAAGTGAGGCTTGTCTTGATTTGACGGCAATTAATTCCTTCATGTTGTACGTTAATTAATTTCTCTTTTTCTTTTAATTGACATATTTTCTGATGTATTTATAAAGCTACTTCTTTTAAAGTAAAATTGATTTAATTATTTCAGGAGCATTTAAAGAGACATTATCGTTGTACGCCTGTTGAAATTACGAGAAAATAATGCTTTATAGAAGAAATTTATTGAATTCTTATAAGTTTCACATATTGTGAATTGACATTATTAAAAATATCTTTTACAGAGAATTCGATATAACATTTATTTAAACGTAAACTCCGATTTCACTATGTAAACGAGAAATAAGAAAACCTGATGATATAATGACGCAAAGCATACAAAGCAGAAGAATACAAGAGTCGTGCTTAGCGAGAACAGCAAACGCGATTATGCAATATGTACCTCTAAAGATGAGGAAAGCTTATGGCATTTACACATCGTTTAAGAACATGCGATGAAAAAGATAGCTTCGCTACAAGTCGAATTGCGTTTTCACCACGATCAGTTTCTATTATATTTTTCGTCATAAACGAACGCCGAATAGTTTATCGCTTTGACGTCTCTATAGAAATACAATCTTTAACGATGTACTTATTTATTAAATATAATTGCAAAATTCTTTCGTTTTCTCCGTTTTTCTGAAAGCATCAACTCACGTTATGTTTATGGTATGATTATTCTGCGAGAATCATGTGCAATTTTTGTGTTCAAACTGTAGTCCTTCTTCTACTATAATAGACAACAATATTTTCAAAACAAAATTAATAGATTTTATTTGAAAAATTTTATTTCTATTGTTATATCCAATCATATCTCTAATTAGAAAAATGTTTGATTATATATAAAGAAAATTATTTTTACTTATTTAAATTGAAGTACAAATAATTTTTGTTATATATAAGCAAACATTTGCCTTCATTTTCATACATATTGTTATTTATACAATGTGTGGAAAAAAAGTATTAAAAATAATCCCAACTAAATAAAATTGTTATCGACATTAGTTTGAGAAACAAAAATGTTCAATTGCATCTCGTTTAATTACGAATTAATTGAATATATTCGCTGAATAATTTCTTGAGTAACATCCCTACTTCGTCAAAAACTAAAAAATTAACAAGTACACTTTCATATAACATGGCGCAATACATTGTCTTATTATTAAATCACTGGAGAGAAGTTCTCTATACTTATATACGCTCCTTTAAATAAATAAATTATTGCGGTTGAAACTTGAAGAACGCATGGTTGAAACTTGAAGAAATCATCCCTCGAGCTGCACTCGAGCTTCGTCGCTCTTCATCGAGTTTTCGAGCGACAATTTGCACTAGAAGTATCAAGAGATGCAAATCATGCAAGCTTTCGCATCAACGTATCGCGATATTATCGTACGCCGAGCCTATGCAAATAGTTGCGTAAGATTGCGTAATATTGCAGTAAGCCAAGAATCGTCCGCGATACCATCAATATCATGCTGCGACTGATCCTTGTATGCAATCGGTGCTCGATCGCTGTCGCGTCATTCCGTCGCGGAATTCGCAACAATTGGCCGGAGAAATGAGATGTGACGGGCATGTATGGATCTTTCGTTCTCGTTACGCCAGTGAATCGGCTATCAGCGATCTCGCAGACGAAATCGCCATTACGTGGACCCACCGCCGTGGCGTTTTGCGAGCGTGAGGTCAGACGGTGACGATATATATGACAATTATTAAGAAGGAGGCGTGTTGCGCCTGGCTGTTCACGGTTCATCGACTGACCCCTCGAGTCCGAGGAGAGAAAGGGAGAGAAAGAAAGAAGGAGAAAAAGAGAGGAAGACCTATTTCCTCGAACCATTTAATTAACTCTTCGCCACGCAATCTCACGGAACATTCTACGACCGTCAAATTCCACGTTCCATGTACGAGCGGCGGTGCGCATCGGCGGTAACTCCAAGATCGTGGTCGACATGGCCGCATTGGCCGAGACAACATCCAATTATTGTGACGATTTATATCGCACGTTAGTCTAAAGTCGTACCTCGTAGTTAGCGCGCATAGAGATGACTTAAATATCAAATTCAATTTAATTCGAGAGAGATATTTATTTTTCTCTCACTATATATCCATTTTATTTCTCTTATCACGTTAATGCAGCTAACTATATTTGTGTACTTTATGAATTATCGAGATAGGATGCTGTTTTTATTTTTCGAGGGGAAGAAATAAATCTATAAAATATAGTTGCCTTTATTAGTCAATAGATTGATGTGCATAAGCAGAATTGCATCAAATCGTATTTTTTTGCTTCTTATCCTTGATAACGTAGAGCGTCGAAATGTATAGTGATTAATGATCGCCTTCTTGCCACAGGAAGCTATCGTTCTATTGCAGAGGCAACCGCGATAAAAAGCGTTCGTGGTTATCTACTGTTACCGCGGATATTAGACATTAGAACTTGAGCACACCAAATGAAATTGCATTTAGTATACGTATATAGAATATCTACGAGAACTGCGCTTGAATTTAATCCATAATCAAAGCTTCCGTCCCAAACGCTATGTATATACACATATATATGTATGTGCATTTGCTGATTACAATTTTATTTTTATCCGTTACTTTGTAAATAAATAACGCACTTTAAGATATGATTTTATTGCTTCCTCTTATATAAATTTTGAAATGTGGACCTTTGACTTTCTTATCTAATATTTAATATTTAATTTAAAATTTCTTCCTCTCGATTACTCTTTATTGTTATAATTAAAGAAAATACGATTAAACTAATTTTTATATGATAAAAAATCGAATTTAATAACATTTATGCTGCAAACGAACGCTGGCACAAAATCGGGTAGTTTGCCATAGTGTCACCGAGATTATATTAATCTCAACTCAAGAAACCAGCTTGCCAGGGTCATCCGATCGGATGCAGGAACCCTCTTTTGCGGATCATTGTCCTCGACGATATTGGATTACGTTTCACTGTTAACAGGTTACGTTTCGTATCTCGCTGTGGCAGTCAGGCAGCAATGGTGAATGGACCACTGCTATGGTTAATCGACTGCGAGATCGATAATAAATGAGTTGTGCTATTATTCTGCCGTTTTACAAAAACTGCAATATGCATTGTTTTTTATTTTATAATATATTTATATAAGAGTTTATTCATGTAAGTTTAGGAAAATCTAATTTTCTTTATTATTATTAATTTTAGATGATTAGAATCGACTGACGAGAGAGATTCCTTTTGAAAAGAAATTACTCGAATAAATTCGATATTTTTGAAAGTGAAATATATTAAATTTTATACGGAATTAAAGATTCATAGATAGAATTTACACATATATTTTACTGCAATTATATATGCTCATGAATAATTATATTAAATCGATAATTTTAACTCGTATTAATTTGAATAATCGATAAGTTTTGGAATGAATAATTAATAATATCGTGCTCTATTGAATACTTTTTTAAGTAGTAAGCATGGCTGTCTAGATATAGATACCATCCTGTAAAATTATAATTATAGGGTAGATCTTACACCGCTGTATAATTAACCGTATAATTACGGAATTATAACGCGTTATAATTACAGAAAGTTCCAAGAATAAAAAACAATATTCGTCACGTTGAGTGTCCCCATCGTAATGAGAGGCACGATTATGCGCAATGCAATTATCGAACGTAATTAACAATTAACGTTCGTCGATCGCGTTATTACTTTCGGTAATTAAGAGAAGAAAGCATCCCGGTAGTTGACATAATTATAGGACACGTCATACCGTCGTAACGCGTCTGGCTTAAAAATAATCTTCGTTCTCACAAGAGATGATGTAAATGCTCGATCTGTTCCGGCAGCTGTCCTGCTTTATGCCTCGAATCGGTATACGAGACATGGTTAGTCATCACTTAAGAATACGTATTAATTTCTCGATTTATCGCACATTCTCGCGGTAATCGCTGATTAGTGTGAGAATTGCAATGAACTTATTTTTTTCTCGACAATTCTGTTTAAACGGCGGCTCTAAGATGATCCGTTCCCTCTGGTGATTGTTACGACGGTTAAAGTGATTGTGCTAAATTTAGTCATGTTCGCACTTGTTATTATCGATTTAACTTTGTGTGTTTGAAATATAATGCGAACATTAAGATAAAAATATTTTTAGCAATATCGTACATTTTTTCTTTTTATAATATAAATAAGAATACTTTATAATATTTGAAAAGACAGGAGTAGAACAAATAAATTCTAAAATACTGAAAAAATAAAAAACGAGATTTATAAATAATAAAATCAAAAAAGAAAAAAAAGGATCATTAGATCCTCCAATAAATAATACGTAATAATTAATAAAATTTTTAATGTGTTAACAAATTCTAAATTAAACTATATGCAATGTTAGGTAAACATTGATCTTGGAATTTTTACGAGTGAAAAAGTAAGAGCAAGAATAAGAAAGACAAATGTAGGAGCTTTGACATTTCAATGCTTGATTACCTGGTATATACCGCATGATATATTTCCGCGGATTTAAATTTGATTTATGCGAGTACTTGAATTTCCCCTGACGCACACGCTTTTTACAAACTCATCTTGCAATGTCGTGCATCCGATGGTTTTATAGTCATACGCATACCGCTAACGTATCATTATTATCGTTATACATTCCCACGTTGCGGTACATACAACTTGGTGGTCTGACGAGCCAAGCTACAGATGTTCAGTGCAATACAGGAAGAGAATGACTTTATATAACGGTATAAATTTTTTGTTCAAATATCATAAAACCTGGATCAACATAAAAATTTCAAAACAAAATTTCGGAAAATTTATGCTCATTATTATATTAAATTAAACGACAATTCTAATTTCATAATTAAATTATAATGATATATTTACTTTACGATATAACTCAACGATTTCAAGATTGTATATTTTTTACATCATTTATCTGATTCTTCGTTAAAAATTATCAGATGGCACGACATAACTTTATAATCGAATAGATCTGCGCCAACTCGTGCGTTTCTTACGTTTCTATATTCCCGCATTTTTTTATCTCGTACGTGCAAGCTCGACAGTGCGATAAGTTGCAGATGCTCGTGGAGAAACCGCAAAGAAGAAAGTCACCTTCCTGTGCGCTCAAACGTACTTTTACTACGCGGAAATGACGCGCGCGCTGCGCCCATCTGCGCGCGACGATCTCCCACGCTTAGTAAAAATCTCCACTGCAGCTGTCATAACCGGAACTGTAAATGACTGTATGAACGATGCAACTACATTGCATAACTTTCTATAAGTAGCGAGATGCAAGTGACACAAGTTTCAATAAAATCCGCCGGCATACCAATGATTTCTTCTCTCACTGGAAGAAAAATTATTTGAGAGAAAAATTTTAAATGTATTATGCGGATACTTATATTTTCGACATACATGTATATAAATTATAGATTTGATTTTTTTCTTTGTATTATTTAGATAATCGAAACATGGTAAAACTGATTGTGAGAACAAATCAAATAAAGAAGCAAGAAAGTTTTACGATAGCAAAATATAAGGATTTTAATATAAATTATTAATGCTGTATCATTTCTATGACAAGGAAAAATGAAAGTTACATAAAAATTGCAATTAATTAGCCTTACATTAATTGTGAATTAAAAGTTAATCAAAGTTTTAAATGAGAAGACTAAAATAAAAGGAAGTATTGTTCGTGTTGTAAATAACGCTTATCCTTAGGAAATATGTAATATCGAGGATAACATTTTATTAGCACCTGAGTTGAGAAAGAGGACAAATTAAATCCGCGTAATTTCTTTACGATGCGATGTTTGAGTGGCAATAAGCTTTTTAAAGTGCACTTGTATATGTTTAACGCGTGACGGCTTGACTAGCATTATTCTTTGAAATCTTTACAATACTTTTTGTTATGAAATCGAACGTAAAAGTGTATGAAAACTAATATATAATATAGAAGAGAGACAATTTTAACGTTAGCTTTATAAAAGATTTTTATTTAATAAAGTCTAGTAACACTGTAGATGTAGCAATGAGTTTAAAAAAAATTTTTAAATTTTGGCAAGAAAAAATGGACTTAATAAATCTCTATTAACATGACTGAATTATATGCATAATTTTTTTGTATATATTTAGAAAGCAAGATAATTCACTGTAATTGCCATAAATGGCTGCGGTCGTTATGATTCACTGCGTCATGTAACGATCAGCGCAACTATTTAGCCGGATAAATTGTACACAGAGTATAATTGCCAGGAACGCGCAATAAATCTGTCTTTCATTAAATGCCGCGCAATTATATTTTACCCAGCTCTTTGTTCGTTCTTTTGTCGTTAATTATTTGAATACAAAGTACTCTTTAACCCGCGGGATGAAGTATAAAACGATTTCAACCCTCTACTGCTGGTATTTCGAATCAAATGACTTTATGGCAAATAATTTACGCAAATAATCGCAAACTCTCCAGCTTTTAAAGACAATGTAAATGCGTGTTATATATCAGTTTAAAAACCATTGTTCTCATTAATTACAGAAATAACAATTATTACCTATTTTACACAAATATATCAACTTTTCCTCTCTGAACAGAAATTTCAAAATTAATCAATAGGAGCCACAAATGTGTAACTGTAATTTTTCTTTGTAAATTTATTTAGAAAGAGATGCTGAGCTTTTTATCGAAAATTATTACGGTTTATGTAACAATCTAAAATTTTAAAATCCCTTCAAAAACAGGATTTTGCGTGTATCCATAAATTTTACGAATCGGCCATCAGAGACCAATAATCGAATACAAGCCGCTCGACAAGACACGCTTGCGGTAGCGATTGTACCCAAGAGCGCGTTCGATCGAGAAACGATCATTTAGCGAGAATCGTTAAACGGGGAACCGTAACTCCGACAAGTAATGCTAGAATACGTTGTGGGGTAGCTGATAATTTTACTGGAAACCGCGCATGTGCGCTTTACAACCGGCGAATGCAAACTGCTTTGGACATTCGCCAGAAGGATCTGGCCATTGAAATGTTATATGGCCACTTCTTCTGGAGCAAACGCTCGGGCAAAAGTCCCGTACGTTTGTGACTGCAAACTTCGTCCAAAAAATTGACATTAAATCGCGACAATTTATTTTCCGGCCATATTTTTATTTCTCGTGATTTAATCAATACTGATTATAATATTAGCACGGATGATGGAAAATCCTAATGCAGGAAATATGTGTTAAAAGCCACAGATCCCACATACTCGTATGCGTTATTACTTGGCAAAATAATTTCTTTCAGAAAATAACGAGTGATTAAAGAATTAAATTAACAGATAAAATTCTACGAGTGTGTCCGGATGGAACTTTTCTTAAAGGAATTCTTAAAGTTTTGCAATCTAGAACTCAAATATTATCCTAAGAGCGTCGAAAATTAATTAAACAGAACGCTTATTAACAATCATATGAGAGAAAAATGAAGCTGTCTGCGGATAAATATCGGGATTAAGAGATACTATCCTTAAATATCGTCTTTTCTCGCGCGATGCACGTACGTGAATCGTTTTCAGCTCGAGGGATTAAAGTACCCCATGCGGCGCGCTATTGTTACCCACGCTTCAAGCTCACCTGTACGTCGCGCAGACGGAGGCGGAGGCCGCAGGTGAACGAGGGGGCACTTAGCGCGAAATGTTTCTCCTCGCACATCCACGTTCTCACGGTAGGCCGGGATCTTTTTCGCGACCCCGGCCGCGACCCCGAGATATACCTGCGGACTCTCTCGGTCCCGATACGATCCACGGCGCGAAACGAGGAGACGCGCATACACGGTAATAAATTTATCTCCCTTCTTTGTGTTGCAGCATCATATAAAATTAAGGCACGGGAGGCATCGTCGACAACACGGCGGCAGTTATCTGCCCGGCAGCTTCGTGCCGGACACGGACGAGCCCGAGAGGGGTAACTGGGGACCATGGTCGACACCGAGCTCCTGTTCGCGCTCCTGCGGCGGCGGGGTCGCTCATCAGACCAGACAGTGTCTCGACATAGAGTGAGTTCTTATATTTTATCGACTTTCACATTTATCGACTTATCCGAGCTACCGTTTGCGATGGAACGTATGCTCGCTCGTATATCGTAAGATACGATATTGAGAGGAATGTCGAACGAGACGTCGGGATGGGCTTCTTGGCACGTACAAGGAGAACGTCTCAATATCGCTCTCGTGGAATTCATCGTGGAAGAAAGTGGAAACGACAGCCTCGGATGTGAAAAACATTGCTAATTTTTTTAAAGATTTCTTTATATATTTATAATAATTTTCGAGAGAAATTTTTCGCGCATTATTTTATGAGAAATTTCGAGTAAATATATGCGCTTTTTATAGTTCAGAGATTACACTCGCGTATATATTGAAAGAATCGTTATCGGAGCACCACTGAGTCATATTCGTAAATGATGTGCGGAAATGTAACCGCCTCTTTTAAAGTTTCCCCTTCGTTGAATTCGCCTTAGAAAGAAGTCATTCTATCTCGTTGAGGTTCTTGCTATCCTTGGAACTCTTCGCTACAATGGTATGCTCAATTGGATTGAGATTGGATTAAAAGCGGACACAAACTCTTGCAAAGAATTTAATCAACTCAATCTACACCGGATACCCAGATGTAATACTGTGTTCGGGAAATCACTTATCGAAGCGATAGTAAATATTATTATAAGTATTATTACACATATTTTATTTAATATTAAATATTTTAATATCTTTACAAATAAAATTAAAAAAAAATGTTTTGTTTTGCGGAAAAGATACAACAACATTCTTCAATAAATTCGCTAACATTATAAAAAATCCTCTGCAATTATATTTTAATAAAAGTACTTTCGGGAAATTATAATTATGGAGAATGTTATTTTGATAAAACGGCAAATCAGCAAAAATCGTAAAATATCATAAAAATGTACAAAAAACATATCATAAAAATGTATGAATCATAAAAATATACAAAATACGCACCGACCAGATTTCTTTTTGCAACGGGACGTACGTCGGCCGCGACTAAATTTGGGATAAATCAACGAAACTTTTCTCCCGGCGCGCGCCAACGTTACGGATCCGCCGTAAATCCCTCTTATCTCGAAACTAAGGGAAGATTAATCGTAGGCACTTACACGTCTCCCAGCGTCACGCTATCTCCAAGAAATTCTCACGATTTCCCATCGCGAAGACGCAATTAAAGTTGGGGTTTAACGCGCGCCGCGGTTACGTAGAACGAAAAGACTGTAAAGGGAGAGAACCGTAAGATTGACCGATCAATGATCAGCATTGTGTCAGTATGCTTGGGATGGGTTCGTTCATTAATGATACGGCGCGGATCTTAGAAAGCGAGATAATCGTAACGTGAAAGCTCGTGATGTGTGCCTCGTATGAGTCTTGTGTCGTCACGGATCAACGAAACGTAACGACTACTGCGATTTCATCGCAAGGAAAACTCATCATTTTCGCGAGATTGTGGCACACGACGTGTTTTTCTATAGTTGATTAGAAATCGCGTTTAATCACGGAGAAATCGATAGAGAGGAGATGTAAATTTACATCTTCTTTGTATATCTTACGTTAAAAAAAAAGAGATGATTTAATTTGAAAAAAGTGCTTACGTGGATTTCGTGATCTTATATGAAATTCCGAAAATGTAACACACGATGTGATCACATAAATCCGTTAATAAAATATTACGTGTAACGCTCTAAGACGTAAGTACGTAAATCTTCGAATTTTTCCCTCTCTCTCTTTCTTTCTTTCTAAAAATTTTATCAGCAGGAAGAGGTACTTACCTTAGAAAGATAAATTTTTAAACGTCGGATTTTCGTGCGAAATAAATAAGCAGCACTTACCAGGATACTGTGACGTAATTTATTGAAGCAGTAATTTTAATCTTATTTTCAGCAAACTTTTCATATTCGCGTAAAATATTATTATCAACTATCATTGACCGCTTTTTATTTTTTTCGATACAGATTTTATAATTTACACATTTGTTCACTGATATTGAAAAAAATCTGTCCGCACGTTTTAGTTCTTTCTCGTAAAATATCGAAAGGAAAATTTTTTGAAGCTAATTTTAAATCCAGTAGATATTTTATATTATTTATTATATATATATATATATATATATTTATATATATTTATTATATATATGATTCTCTCTCTTTCATTTTTAATCGTGTGAATTTAAAAAGAAACGCGTATAGCGTAATCAAAATTCGAATCAACGTAGAACAAATCATAATGAGAAATAACTATAGAAAACGTTTTACATTACATTATTCAAGTATATGCAATCGGTATTATTCCTTTTGTTAGACATGCGCGAGTGTATTTCATTCTCCGCGTGCAGTTACATGTATAGTTGTATGTCAAATGGACTCAATTGTGCTTGCCTTTTATTCTAGTAATAACATCGATTTCAATGACACTATAATAATTGCGAATATAAGCGATTACATTCAAACATTGTTATAGAAAGTTAAATTTGCGATCAATTATTAAAAAATAAATTATTAAATAAAAAAAAGTAATATTTTTATAACAATATCATCTATCGCTTCATAAATAAAATTATAAATATAAAAAAAAATTTGCGTGAATATGACAAATTTTAATCTAATTCGTAAAAATAATATAAATATAATATAAATATATAATATAAATAAAATATATAAAATAATATGTAAAATATATATAAAATATATTTAAAATATATAAAATAATATAAAAATATAATATAAATATAATATAAATATAATCACATCTTTGTTTGTCATAAAAAAAATAACATTTGTATTCTGTGGTGTTACAGTGACAGCGGCCATGACAGGTGCACCGGTGCCTCCAGGAGATTCTTTTCGTGTAACATTCAAGTGAGTACGAGAACTCTTAATTCTAGCCTTTAAATAACGACCTTAAATCGTATCAATTATTTTCCGCATCCGCATCGCCGGATGCGGGCGATCACGTCGTCCGCGACGTGATAATATCGTCCAGAGATCGCAAAAAGACTCCATCGTGGGAATGCCGCGGGCTACGTGAGTCGCGTGCAATCTGGAACTTGATTAATTGCCGTGTAACCGGGAGTGATTTATGCGATGTGCTTTAATAGATCGAGCGGCTTGACAGTCTATCAAGGGGACTTCGGAGCCGCAGACGCGTGACGCGCGCTTCAATTATTCGCGTCTACGAGCAAATGATGAAATCAATGAGAGAGCCGAAGTCTGTAGTCTTGTCCTCTCTTTCCTTCTTTCACGCCTGTCCGCGATTCTTACGCGTATCGTTATATCAAAGAAAGTAAGCCGTTAAAGTACGAAGCGAGATCTGTCTCGAAAATTACGATTGATTTGCTTGTTCGTTGATCCCAATGAATGATTCATTCAGTTATGTCACATTTTTGCGGCATTTCTCTCTCTCTCTCTTTCTTTCTCTGCCACTAATCTTTGAGATGTGGGTCAGCGAATAATAAGAAACGTCGATTTTTAATGAGATGATTTATGTCGTTATTCAATTCGGTTGTGTCTTTCTAATCAATTGCAATATCGTAGATCTGAATTCAGAAGCTTAAACATGATTATTACAATTTGAATCAATTATAAAAAATTGAAAAAGAAGATATAACTGTTAAATAACAGTTATATATATATATATATATATATATATATATATATATATATAAACGAAATGCTTAATTTATTATTCTTATAATTTATAATTTTTTATTTGTTACAAAATCTGAGATAAGCGCGACTTTTCGTTGTTGGATAAAAATTGACATTTACAACTGTTGATGAATTAAAAAAAGAACGGAAATAAAACGGTGTTTCTTTGCCATTTATATGCTCGTAATATAGATGCCACGCATTTCTGTCTATATCGGTCGACTGCTGACATTTCAACGATGTTCAACAAATCACCTCATATTGTCGGCTCATTTATCGCTTAAAAGTCTGTCTTGCCAAACGGGAGACAAGCGCATGTATAGGATTTTTACGACTCTCGGATGGGGTTCCCGTGCTTTTAACTTTCACGACGTACAAACCGAGCACACCCTTGAGTATCCTCCGCGAGGATTTAGTGTAGTCAGACTTTAAGGAACGATCTTTTACTACCGCTATAAACTTTTAATCCCTCTCTTATTCGCGTTTGCAAAGAGAATCTACACGTTTTCGAAGAGAAACGTTTGATACACGCGTTATCGTCGTCACAAGAGAGAGTTCATCGAAATTTAACAACGCGATTTAAAAAAAGAAAATAACAGAGATTCACAGAGATTCAATTGTAAGAGAAGTGGGATTTTTACGTGTGTACTTTTAAAGTGTGCGTTCTTCTCGTCGTGCATGCGACAAAGAAATGGGTTTCTCTGAACTTTCGCCTAAATCGGGATCGCCATCTGTCAAAGACTCGTTTATGCTCTTTCGTAGAATTATAGGACACTCGGGCAAGTCGCGTTACCATTCTTCTCTTTGTCATTCGTATATAAGCGGATCGACATATAACGAGTACATATCGTAGCTAAGAAGGAACACAGGAAGAGGATTCGCGAATAACCCACAGAATTTTTCTCTGTCGTTTCCGTTTGTTCGCTTTCTCTCGAGAATAATTGGACGGAAATGTTGTAGGTACTCATAAAATCTCTATTTCAATAGAATATACGGCGAGATTTTGCAGCGAATCGCTATAGCCCAGTGACCCTATAAACTCGACCTGCACAATATCTGGCGCTTTAACAGGTTCTCCTCTCGGCAGCCTGGTTGATATCGTGAGTGCTCGTGACTTGCTCGGTAAAAGCTCGGGGAGTGGAGAGGTACGTTATACGGTAACGATAGCGGACCATTAAGCAAACGTTTACTCTTTATCGCTACGTAGGTTTTGCTTTTACTTCGCGCCAGAACGAGTAATACAACTAACGAATTTAGAAACACACTTGAAACATTTACGACGAAACCGCAATTCCTTTAACGTAAACTAACTTTGCTGATTTATTTCGTTTTTACAAACAATACACACGACAAAACAGTTCAAAATAGTCTTTTACATATATGTAACAATAATTAAGTAGCGTACATAAATGTTGACAATATAATCATTTAATTCAAAGTGGTTTAAGATTATTATTCAAATTTTTTTATGAAAGAATATTATTGGATTCTTGGATCTTTTAATTTATTTTATTAATACTTTAGAGATTTGAATGACAATCAATTCCATCTTATATTTCGTTGACGAAAATGCGTCTTGTCAATTATTAGAATTTTCTCAAAGTTTAACAGAAAGTAGCAACGTTGTATTCTGAAAGTTATATTTATCTCTTTTATAATAATTAAGATAATGACTATATATTATATTAATATCAAAATATAATTTTTAATTTAAAAGTTAAATGTAAAAAAGAAATGGAAATGCAACGTGATATAATAAAACTCGCAAATTTAGAAAATTTACGATGACATTTCGGCGATGTTTTCGCTCTTGCAGAGAAATATAGGAAAATTATGATTAATTAACCACAATTAGAGAATCCGACGGCGTTCCGCCTTTCCTTTGCGAATTTTTTGTCATCACCCGTCAGGCTATTTAATCGCGCGCAGAAAACGAGGAAGAAAAATTATTTCTATAAAAATTATTCATGGAGAAATTATCCATCGGGAAATGCAACGTTATGTGCTACTGTTATATAATATTAAGGGAATGTTACATAAATTCTCTGAAACATGACAGAAATCAATCATATTTTAATCTAACATTTTAATCTGATAAAGTGTCATTGCAGAGTTTGATGAAATACGAACGTAATATAAAAATTAATTAAAGTACCTTGAAATTTAATATTAAAATAGTATTTATAAATAAATAAATATATATATAAATATATAAATATATAAAATACTACAATAAATACTATTTTGTGAATGTAAAAGTTGAATTGCTTATAAGCTGTTTAAGCAATTTAAGAGTTTTGATTGATGTTTCTCCGTAATATCCTGTCGCACCATCTTTCTTGTTGTATCAATCATTTTAACTCTAACGCAAAGACGCAAAGAGACAGATGTAATTATGCAACTCGACAATGACACAATGATGACGATGACGGAAACGAATATAATGCGACTGATTTCAATACACTATTACAATCAGCAGACAATGAAGCTGCATCATCCGAGCACGTGGTGCATTAGCGATTCTCCGATGGACCACAGGAGATTTATGAACGGAAGCCCATTATGCATAACATCGACTCGCGAGGCATTAACTTCGTTAGAGTCGAATGCTAACTGAAACGAATAGCAAGATATACCGCTACACGTGTAGTGACTGCCATTGGCATCCATTTCCTGGAACGGCAAGTAGTTGCATCTTGTTTTACGATATAGGTCACTTGAAATTGTTCACCTGTGCGTATACAAAATGAAATGTGTAAAAGAAAATAAATTAAAGTAAATTTGCGACTTAGAGTGACTTAGAGTGACGTGTAAACATAATAGGTAAAAATACCGACCGAAGGGAAAAATTGCGAATGTAAAAACGGCTGGACATTTTCAACGAAAAGCTTTGCTTTAATCAAGAGTTTTCTGTAATCAAGAGCCGTCTTATATATTTATAAAACTGCTGTTTTTGTTCCACAAGCAACGTTTTCTTTCTCAGTTTGAAATTCAACTCTTTAGAAACAACTCTGCTGATGCCAACAGGAAATTTGATTTTATCTATAATATGATGTGGGTGGTCGCGATGCTGGTTTAATATAATGAACCTTTTGTATTTAATTCGGACCAAATGTTGCCGCAAATTTTGATATCGAGCATTATTTTACGCGGGAATGCAACGAATACATTAAATTTTTTAAAGCAATGATGATTTTCTCTTGTTGTTTTTTATTTAATATAATATTTTATACATCTATCCAATTTTTTTAGTACAAAATATATTATTAAATGAAAAATGAATATAAAATATTTTATTTTTTGTTACCAAAATATAAAAAACAAAACTACATAAAAATTTATATTAGTTACAAAAAATATTACATGCATATTACAACTTTTTATTGAAATTATTTTTAATAAGAAATATATTTACAAAATAATGAAAAATTCGTCATTGATCTTCTTCGACTGGAAATATGTGGTAAATGGAACGTTGAGATATCACTCGCCAGCCAGCATTTCGATAATTTGTTTCTCATGTACTCTTTTTCTTGTCCATTTGCGGTTCTGCTCCTGCTGTCTCTTCTCCAGGATAAATCACCCTCTTCAAAAGGGATCATATAATCGCAACAAAATGATGATATACGACACCTGAGTCTGCAAAGCCAGTAGAGGCAATTTATCAGTTTAATAACAATTAAATGTCATATAATCTGTAAATATTATTAACAATCACATTTAATCTGACGTAAATAATGATAAGATTTTTCGAGGGCTCACGAATATATACCAGACATTATGACTAGAGTGGATGAATAATTAACTGTCTCATTATCGTTTCACGTTAATTAAACGGAAAGATAAACGTGCATATCGCGATGTAATTCACTTTTTACGTACGAGCATTTTTTCTTGTATATTTCTGGTTTCCATAAGAGAAAGAAAGAGAAAGAGAGAAAGATTATTCTTCATAAAGCATGTTGTCGATGATGCGACGCCGTAAAAGGCCAAGAAATACGTCGGAACATAAACCACCATTCCCGAGAGAGAGAGAGAGAGAGAGAGAGAGAGAGAGAGAGAGAGAGGACGCTTTCTTAAAAGTGATAGATTTAAATAATCCCGAACATACGAAAACGAACCGTGCGGGGATCGTCTAAGGTCAATCGCTCGGCTGCGACTCCTAAGTAATCCCTTATAAATTTTACGGCTCGCTGCGAGATCGGCAACATTCGTCATCTATGACATCATTTTCGGGTCGCCTGAGCCCGAGCCCGAAGCTTTTTTCTGAACGTAGCCCGTCGCTCTCTTCCTACCTACCTATTCCGACTACCGTGTTGCCTTGCCACCCTTGTTCCGGAGCGTTTCATACCGTCCGCAAGAAATCTCCCGCCATAAATTCTACGCCGTATCCTCGTGCGTGGTACCGGTCTCGCTGGGGTATCTTTTCTTCGTTTTTGCTTGGGTTCCACTCGATTTATCGACATTACCTGCCCCGCGGGTCTACCCTCCGCGGAGCGCCCATCTGTGGACCATCTCGTTTTTGCGAACTTGTTCACGAAAATAGCACGACAGCACGCGCTCGTTGATTTCACTCAAAATGAGAGTGAATTTTCTGGATCTAATATGCCGTCATAATAGCATTCAATTTGCTAAAAAGCTAAGTAAGATTATCTTATATTCGACGTGAATATTCCAAAAATAATTCAAATCTTCTATAAACCTCGAAATTATGATTATGAAAATTGTATATATATACAATTACATTTTTAAATGTAATGATGTCATATTTGATAAGTTTCTTAATTTCTCAAATTTTTTCTTTGTGTACAATTCGCGAAAATTTTGAGAAAGCGAGATTACTATTGATGAGGCAAATTAGATTAATGAAGTTGAAAGTTATACCGATTCATATACCCTTTGATATTGGATTTTTATGTATGAGCAACACCTTTTTGTGGTTCCATTTCACGCTGACGAGACATTTTTCTCAGTGACATTCAGACGCGTGTATCTTTTCAAACGAAAGCTTGTCATCCACTACAGGGATTTATTTCGAGTTTGAAGTTAGCAAAACGAGAACGAAAAAGCGCAGTCAAATGCAACGAAAAAAAGTGTACATGACTCACTTTTGCGACGGCTTTAAATTTTTCGAGCGCTCGTCGCTGCTTTTTTTATTATACATTAAATTTTCAGGACAATAGTTATTGCATTTATTCCATGTTTAATTTTCGTCAATTGTGATAACCGACAATAGTTGACGTTATTTCTTACAAAAATGTGACTTTTATTCATCCTATTCGAATCGCTGAATTCACTGTACAAACGTAACAAGAATTTGTCAATAGACTCAATGCAAGAGATTGTAAAATTCCGCGTTGCAACGAATTTTGCGTGCCGTTGCTCGGATTTTATTACTAGCGTGCTATTCTCAAAGAAACTTACGGATTCTCTGTAAATCGATTTGCCTTTTTGGAAATTAAATCAGGATCGGCGCGCGCATTTTGGAATTTTTTTATTTGTTATCTGATTGATAGACATTTATTAACGACGATTCGATAATCTACAAAATTAGAAAATTCGCAATTTCGTTTTTTTTTCAGGACTGCCCTGGCGAGGCGACGGATTTTCGAGCGGAGCAGTGCGCAGAGTTTAACAATGTGCCCTTCGAGGGAACGTATTACGAGTGAGTATCATCGATATCGTGATTATCAATGCCCATTCGATTGGAAATTCTATCGAAATGGTGAAACAAGATTATCGCTGCGTCAAGATGTTATGATTTACGACGGCGCCACGTAGTGGGGCGATGATGGAATTCTTTGGAGCCTTTGATCATTTAATGATCGTCCCTTCGCTCTATAATCCACGGTCGCTTGAATCGCTCTTAATGAGAGAGACATCATATTTATGATACTTTTCTTCCTTCGATCGCAGTCGAAAAGGTCTCGAGAGATTCTCTCCAAAGAAACTACGAATATCGACAATTATATAAATGCCATAATTTATATTTGACATGCGGAACGATGACTCTTTCATTCACCGTAATTATGTATATTTTTGTCACATTATCGTTTATTTCAAATAAAATAAAATCAAATGACAAAACATAAAAGAAAATTCCGACGATTATCACTGATGATCATTGGGCATCGATTATGATTAACTTTTCAATTAGGCAATATTTTTTATTTTCCGCAGTTGGATTCCGTACACCGGAAGTCCCAATAAGTGTGAACTGAATTGCATGCCGCGTGGCGAGCGATTTTTCTACAGGCACAAAGTCGCCGTGATCGACGGCACTCCATGCGAATCCGAAAAGAATGACGTTTGCGTCAAGGGCAAATGTATGGTGAGTTGTGAGTCGGAGCATCATATTCGAAATCATGTGATCGTAATTCTTCGTAATGATTTTAATAACAATTTAAATAACAATTAATTTAATTTAAATTTTTGGTGGATTTTTGTGTTAAACAAGATGAGAAAGTGAACAGAATGGATATGTTATGTAAGAATTTTACAATAAATCTTTTTTGACACGTCAGCACGTCGGATGCGATATGATGCTGGGCAGCGATGCCAAGGAAGACGCGTGCAGAGAATGCGGCGGCGATGGTTCGGATTGCAATACCGTTACCGGTTTATTCGACACAGATGATCTCCAAGTGGGTGAGTTATTTTCGTTGATTAATAATTATTACGGGAATAAATTTGATCCATGGTCATCTTCCAGCGAGCAACTTTCGAGATTATTTCTGTGTAATCAATATCTATTTTATTCAGAGAACACCTTAATTTTAGCGCTACTCTGGTATAAGTATTTATGATTCTATTGTACCTCTGCAGTATAATAATAGAGAATTACCGCGCATCTCTTTCAGGCTACATCGATATTCTGCTCATCCCTGAGGGTGCGACGAATATCGTTATAAGGGAAATACAACCATCGAATAATTATCTTGGTAAGTGAACGGGGCGGAATAAATAAATTTACGTAAGAAATAATCATGTAAAATATCTTGATCTTAGCATCGGTAATTGTTTAATAACCGCTTGTTCTAAATAATCTTAAAACTTGTTAATCAGCCATACGCAACACAACGGGACATTACTACCTAAACGGAAACTGGAGGATAGATTTTCCTCGTAGCTTGCGCTTCTCGGGCACGATCTTCCATTACGCCAGAGATCCTCAAGGATTTGCTGCGCCCGACACCATCACGGCCTTGGGACCGACGAATGAACCGATTTACGTCGTGGTCGGTACACACATCGATTTTTTCGTTTGTCGATGAAACGTTCAAATCGTATAAAGGGTACGTTTAACCGAAGAGTTTAATTTCTTTCGCAGCTGCTGTACCAAGATCGCAACGTAGGTGTGCATTACGAGTACAGCATACCGAAGAAATTCTCGACGCGCACGGATCCGGACAGCTACACCTGGGTAACCGATCAATTCTCCAGTTGCAGCGTCAGTTGCGGCGGAGGTATTATAAGATTGTCGCTTCAATGCGATTAAACTATAAACTTTCAAATTTATTATATTTTCCTAGCAACGTTGCAACGTGCTGTACTTGTTGCAAATATTTAGGGATTTAATTAAATGTGGATTTAATATATATATATATATATATATATATATATATATATAATATTAATCTATATTAATGATGCAAAAAAATATTTTAGGAGCCAGTGAATTACGTTTACTTTAATTTTAGTATAGATCGAATTTTAAAATATTTACATATATGAAACAATTTCGTGATAATTACTAATCAATTTTAATCGTAGTTAATTACCGTTGAATTGAAATGGATCATCCATGATTTATAACAATTCATCTCTCTCTTCCTATCTCTCTCGAAATAACAATCGCACTTGAATATCACGAGAAAAGATTTATTCTCCTTACGTCTTATTTATCTTTTAAGGTTACCAATCAAGACGGGTGGCCTGCGTGCGAAGACGCGACAGTCAAACGGTGGATGAGAGTCTGTGCGATCCTGGACTGGAACCATCCGACACGCAAGGTTGCAGCGAGGAACCCTGTCCGCCCATGTGGGTGGAGGGCCCGTGGTCTCCGTGCACGAAACATTGCGGCGAAGGGGGCGAGCAGACGCGAGAGATCAAATGCGAGCAAGTTATCTCGGGTGGAATAGCCTCTGTGGTGGATGATTCCCAATGTCTCGAAAAGGTGGGGCCGAAAGGTTCCATCACGCAGGAATGCAACAGGGACGTGGATTGTCCGCAGTGGCACGAGGGACCCTGGAAACCTGTGAGTTAACGTGTTACCACCCACAATGACACACTGAATTACGGTTACCGCCTCCTTCTCTCACATTTACGTGCTATTACAATGCTAATTGACTTGTATCTCTTTCATATAAAATATTACAGTTAATTTTTAGGTGCAATGTTTTTAAAAGTGTATACATATTACACTTTATTATATATTATATTTTTAATTTTGTAAAACACAAAATCTGAGACTGTTTCTTCTAGTGCGATCATATATGCGGGCCTGGTAAGCAAACCAGAATAGTTACGTGCTACAGAAAGATCGACGGCAAAATTCAAGTACTAGAAGATGAGGCGTGCGAAACGGAGGCACCTGAACGTGAGAAAGCTTGCGATCTGAGACCTTGCGCCGGTGTCGATTGGGTCACCTCGGAATGGAGCGGAGTGAGTTCAAAAACACAATAAAAACTTTCTATATAAAAAATTAAAAAATATTTGAAAATATTTAAATAAAATATATCTAAATATCTATATTTAAATAAAATCAATTTTGTTGAATGAATTAATATACGTATAATATGAAAACCTCTTGTTGATAGTGCGAGAAGATATGTGATCTTACCAAAGAGACTAGAACCGCCCATTGCGCTACCCAGGACGGCATGGTTTATTCAGATGATTTGTGTGACGCGGACAAGAAGCCAGAACTGGAAAGAGAATGCGAAAAAGCCAAGAACTGCGATTTCCAATGGTTCACCTCGTTGTGGAGCAAAGTAAATGCAAAAGAATATTTTGATTATTATTTCTGATATATATTCCCATTTCTAAATTAATTAAAAGTAACGTGTCTTGAATTCCTTTAATTAAATGCTTTGAAATTTTAATTAATCGAATAATTGCTGTTAACAATTTCGCAGTGCTCGGCAGAATGCGGAGCCGGTGTTCAGACGCGCAAAGTATTCTGCGGCATTTTCAGCGAAGATGAAGTGAAAAAAGTTCTGGACGAGAACTGTGATCCCGAAGAGAAGTTTGAAGACACTAAGAATTGCACCGCCAAGAAACCGTGCAAGGGAGAATGGTTTGCAGGACCTTGGAGCAAGGTTTGTCTTATTATGTTTAACTAATACATTTTGCATGTATAAATTATATTTTGCATATATAAATAACCTGTCTTTCTTCTGACATGGTAAATTGATTTATCATATTACTTCGCTTAATGTTACGATCGTGACTTTCTTGTATCTTGATCGCTCTCACTAGCTTTCTATGAAGTTTGAAATTTAGTTTACATATAACTCATCTATAATCGGTTTGTTAGACTTGTTAACGTAATCTTCTCTAAGTGCAATCAACGATATCGTCAATCACGTCGCAATATGTTGCAGTGCTCAAAGCCATGTGGCGGCGGCGACATGATCCGTAAAGTGATTTGCATGAGAGATAACAAAACGGCACCTATAAGCCAGTGCGACGCCGACTCCATCATGTTTTCTACGGAAAAATGCAACGATCAACCTTGCGAGGAAGGTAAATTTTTAACAATTTAATGATCATATTTAAAAGTATTCTAAGTTTGAAAAGAACGTATGCAAAAAAAACAATTTATATAAATGAAAAATAATATAACTTAAAATAACAGTAGAACTTAAAAAAAACAAGCCAGCTTTAGAAACTGTTGTTTAATAATGTTGTTTATTATTTAAAAAATTTTTCACTATAATAAAAGAACAGGTTTTCTTTCATTTTATTATTTATATACATCTCATTTTTATCAACAAAGTAAAATACAGTCATTAATATCTGCTTCGTTATCACGTAGAATATATGTTTGTTAATGATGTCAACCTTCGTTATAGATCGCAAGTATAAAATATGAAACATACTTAGTACAGCGGGCGTGAAAATAACGAGGTTCGCGGTATTAAACTCAAATGTCTTACTATATTTCAAAGGACATCGAACTACTCAGCGTGAATATAACATCATCCGGCCCCTTCTAGCGAGGAAAATTACGCTTCTAGCGCTATTGAAACTAGTCAATAACGAAAAAAAGCGCACACGTAGAATTCTTTAACATTAAAAAAGATGTTTTTATATTTTTAAAGCTCGAATTTATCAAATTACAATTTATATAATTTGGTTGTATTTTTTTCTGGACGCATATATCTTTAGGCGTGACACCGGCCGACATAGATGAGAAAATAACGGACTCGGATGAAGAAGAATGCGAGGAAGAGGAAGAGGAGGAGAAGGAGGAAGATGCTGTTGAATTCAGTCTCCCTGTGGGGGTAAGTAAAACTGGGTCGTGTCGCACCTAATCGAATATCAGGCGCGACTGAGTTACTTCGTAACTTCGTTTCTTATTGTTCCACCTTCCTTTTGAAAAGAGTCGTCCTGGACTCGTATCAAATCGACTCCCCTTTACGCGCGAAGCGATCCGATAATGCAATTCTCCTTCCGATTTCGCATCTCACCGAGGATGGATTGACACGAAATCGAAAGGATTGCAGAATTGTGAAGCGGCTTTTCGTGTTGCAGGAGGCAAAAATGGGCAAGCTGATCGAGCAGACGGAACTGACATCTTTGAGCTCGCCGTTTACCGGAAGTGACATTTACGACATGATGTTTAGCGATTCGACGAGAGGCGACATATCGCCTTCCGAGCTGGGTAGTGGCGAGGGTAGCGGCGACGGCGATTTCACTATGTATGAAACTAAATTCTTCACCGACAGCACAAGTTTCGATACCGATTCCACTATCGAGAAGAGCGAAAGTCCGGTGAACGAAACCACGATAGAAGCTGGAACTGGTACAACGGAATTCGGGACAGAGGTAACCGAATCATCGGACATCACCGAAGGTACCGACGTGACGTTCGAAGGTTCCGGCACTACAATCGAAGAAGGATCCGGCACAAGCCCCGAGGAAGGATCTGGCGCGAGCGCATCTACAAGTGCGGTCACGGAGGAAACGGTGGAAGAAACTCAGGCATCAACATCAGCTGTGACTTCGGAATCCGACAGTAAGTTAAATATATTCATTATAATATATCCATTTATAATATAATCCACCTGTCAAATATATTATAACATGCGAAAGTTTATTATCGATGTTTTAATAGCATCTGCATATATTAAATATATATCATCGATAAAAAAACTTTTTCTATCGATTTAATGATCTTAGATATTGATATAAAAATTACAATCAATGAATTCTTTCATTAGTCTCCAGTGAGACTGCCGAATCTACCGCTAGCGAAAGTTCGGAAGGATCGACAACGATCGAATCCAGTGACATGACGACTGGATCCAGTGATATCACGACCGAATCGATTGGATCCAGCGATATCACGACCGAATCGACTGGATCCAGCGATATTACGACCGATCTTACTACCGGTTCAGCGGAAACCACAATTTCATCCATTACCGAATCGACAGAATCTACTGAAACGAAAATAACAGACACCACTGATACGGCGACGACCGATTCGACGGAGACGCAAACTACTGATTCAACAGAACCTACAGACACGACCGAATCCACGGAATCTCCACCAACTACATCCTCTTCGGAAACCACAGTTACGGAAAAAACAGAAACGGAAACCACAGTTACGGAAAAAACAGAAACAACCGGAAGCGACGAAACCACTGAATCCAGCATTACATCCGGTAAGCATTAAATTGTAACAATTTTGATTTAATATTTTAGAGCTATAAATGTATTATAATTTTGCTTTGTTATTATTGTTGTTACTCAAATCTGGATTTTAGATTTTAAATATAACTTAAATATAATTAAATTTTTATTAAAAATAATTTTTATTAAATATAATTTTATTAAATATATTTTAAATATAATTAAATTCTTTTATCTGCGTTAACGCACGAACGCTTATATTCGTTAACATAAAAGAAGTGTAAGTGTCAATGTAATAATATCCCACAGAGATAACGACTGAGACGTCAACAATGGTCTCTGAGCTGACGACCGAATTAAAGGTGCAAGGCGAATACGATTTCGATTCAGAGGAACAAGGTACCGATGCCGTAACGACTGAATCGAGTACCACCGAAGGAACCTATTTCACTACAACGACTAGCAATACGGAAGAAAGTACTGTTTCCGGAACGACCTCGTCTGACGAGACTGCAACTACTGGCAGCGAGACAACCGAGACAACCGAATCGGAACAAACTACGGAATCAGGCGAGACAACTGAGGCCAGCGTCAGCACAACGGAATTAACTGGGACAACGGAATTAAGCGAGACAACGGAATCCGGAGCGACGACCGAATCTAGCGAAGTTACGATCAGTACATTAAGCGCGACTACCGAGTCAGGTGCGACTACGGAGTCCGAAATTACAGAAACCACCGAATCAGGTGCAACGACGGAATCGGGAGAGACAACTTTATCGGGCGAGACGACCGAATCATCGGCTACGACGTTGTCGACCCTCGAAGAGACAACAGTGTCTGGTGAGACCACCGCGACGGAAGTTACGTCCTCCACGATCAGCGGAGAAACCGATCTTACCGAGAAGACTCATGGTAAACAAACGATTTGAAATGATCAAACGAACCCATCAAGTTTCACTCTATTAACAACCAACTTAATTTTCAGTCACGGAGATATGGACAACCGGCTTCCCAGAAACAACTGCACACAAGAGGCAATGCAAACCGAGAAAGAGCTGTAAAAAGACGCCGTTTGGATGTTGCTATGACGGTTTCACCATTGCTAGTGGACCATTCGGTCAAGGTTGTCCGACACCGCAGACATGCAATGATACGCGATTCGGTTGCTGCCCTGATGGTGTGTCGCCAGCCACTGGTCCAAAGAACGCGGGTTGTCCCGATTCTCATTGTAACGAATCTCTCTTCGGTTGCTGCCCGGATGGCGTTACCATGGCGCAAGGCAACGATTATGAAGGATGCAAGAAACCGTGTGCAGAAACAGAGTTAGTTTCCGTACTTTAATCACGTGAATTCTTCAAGTGACAAGAATACATTTTCGGTCAAATTTTAACTTTTGTAATTTAACATAATATTTATCAGCTTATCAGCTATTCTAAACACGCGTGAATTCTATAAATCTAATCGCTCTTATGAATTATAAATTTATAGATTTGGATGTTGTCCGGATAACGAGACTGCAGCTGATGGAAAGGACTATCTGGGATGTTGTAACTCTACCGAGTTCGGTTGCTGTCCGGATAATATCAAAGCTGCTTCTGGTCCTGAGGACGAAGGTATTTGTCTTGCCTTGTTAAACTAGATTTATATATATATATATATATATTCATTATATACATTTTCGAATGGTTTAATTTAACATGTGTTGTGACTAGGTTGCGAGGAGGAAACCACTTCCGAAACACCCCAAACGGAGATGTACGAGACAACAACGCAACCTATCTCGCGCGAAGATTGCGCAAATAGCACCTACGGCTGCTGTCCTGATGGCATTACCATTGCCAATGGCACGAACTTTGCGGGATGCGGCGTCATTAATACTGAAAACTGCAGCGCGTCCTATTTCGGATGCTGTCCTGACGGAGTTTCCGCAGGTATGAGATTTTATTGCGTAATAAATGATACGTTAAATTTTTCTTGAGAGATCGTTTATCATTTCTCAAACAGTTACTTATTCGTAAAATGGGCTATTCGAGAAAAGTCTCACTTGTAATTTCTGATTCTTAATATCTGAAAAATATTAATTATGATATAATCATAATATTTATTATAAAATAATATAAATATAAAACACTTTATTACAAAATGAATGAAATTACGAAATAATATTTTGAAATATTATTAACTGTAAAACAAAGTGTTATACATTTTCTTTATAATATTCTTTCCTATAAATAATTATTAATCTCATTAAACTTATCATTAATTGAACAAATCGATAATCGGAGAAAAGGTCAGGACAAATAGACGAGCAATTCTGAACACATTATATGCATGTGTTTCACTTTCACGTTCGCGATTCCCAGCTCTCGGGCCGGATAACTATGGCTGTCGGATGCCTTGCCACGATAGCGCTTACGGATGCTGCGAGGATGGGGTAACATCGGCGCATGGACCAAACAACGAGGGATGCTGCTTATCGACCCCGTACAAATGCTGTCCGGATAACATTCTGCCGGCACGTGGACCAAACTTCTACGGCTGCGGCTGCCAGTACACGAGATTCGGCTGTTGTCCGGATAATTCAACGGCGGCGCGTGGACCGAGCAACGAGGGCTGCGGCTGTCAATACACGCCTCACGGTTGCTGCCCGAATCGGTTCACCCCCGCCAGCGGACCGAATTTCGAGGGATGCCCGTGTTACACTTATCAGTTCGGATGCTGTTCCGATGGCATTACTATCGCCAAGGGTTCCCATGGTCAAGGTAACTTTACGATCGATGCGCATAATCGATCTATTTTATCAAAAAAATAAAAGATTTAACATAAATTGAAGAAAATTCTAGTTCAACTTGCTAGCTAATTATTAAAAAATCTCTATAAAATTTTACAATCGCTATGCAAATAAATATACGCAATGTGTTTGACGATGTTCACAGGCTGCGGATGCGAGAATACGAAATACAAGTGCTGCTCGGACGGTCAGACTCCGGCGACGGGCCCGAATTTTGCCGGGTGTACTTGTGACGCTTCACAATACGGATGCTGTCCGGATGGAATCGAGGAAGCTCAAGGAGAGAACTTCGAAGGTTGTCTCACGATACCATCGATGCCAGGTGCTGCGTGCGGTCTGAAGAAGGACAGAGGCTCCTGCCGAGATTTCACGGTCAAGTGGTTTTACGACACCGATTACGGTGGTTGTTCGAGATTCTGGTACGGAGGCTGCGAGGGAAACGAGAATCGATTCAAAACGCAGGAAGAGTGCAAAGAGGTTTGCGTTCAACCGAAAGGAAAAGGTAGCTATTCTTTGCAATAATAAATTACATGTATTATCTTCTTGCGATATAAAAGTAGAATGACATATTTTCTTTTTTTATAAATTGATAAAACGAACTTTTTACGAATCAATTATATCAAAATATTCCGAAATGTTGAAATAACGAATTTTCGAATTTTTTCATTTATTTTGCAGCTGCTTGTGTCTTACCGAAGATCGCTGGTCCTTGCGAAGGTTATCACCCGACGTGGTATTACGATGCCGGCAGGAAACAATGCGGTCAATTTATTTACGGTGGTTGCCTCGGTAATGCTAATAAGTTCAAAACTAGGGAGGAATGCGAAGAACTTTGCGTCACGCCGGACGATGTTGGTAAGCAGCTGTATCTATAACGATAAAAATTGTCCATATTTTTAAATTATTTTGCCTATTAAATATGGATTTAAAATTTTTCTCGACTCTATGCATTTTAAGATTTGCAAAAGTCAATTAATTAAGTTTATCGTTTATGTTTCATAAAGATGCTTGCGATCAACCAAAAGAAACAGGTCCTTGCGCAGGCAACTTTACAAGATGGTACTACAATCAAGAATCGCAAACTTGCGAACAATTCATATATGGTGGTTGCAAAGCAAACAACAATAATTTCCCGACAGAAATCGCATGTCATCAGCAATGTTTAACGCCAGGTCGAAGGAAAGGTATGTTTCGTTTCATTTCTTTTTCCGTACGTTAAAATTTAATTTTGTGTATTTGTAATTTATCTATAATTTATTAATTTATTTATTTATCTGCATGATTGTTGTAAAGTGTGATTTAAAGTGGATTGCTTGATCGGTTCTCGTTATTATAAATCTTTGTTAATCGCAAAATTATACAATAATTTCTCTGAAAAATTAATTACAAATTTGGGGAAAATCGAATTCGATAACAGTATTTATGCGAAATATTTATGCTATTAGTAATATTTATTTTTTGAATACTTCTGATAAAGATAATTAATCTTAATAAATCTCATCTAACAATATTCAGATATAATCAATAATATAAATTTAATTGATAACGTAATGCATACTGAAACATTTATTTTTTTAGATATATCTAGATATATCTAGATATTAAATATAAATTTATTAAAATTAAAGAATTAGTAATACTTTATGGGAAAAAAAAATTTTGAGAAGAGAGATTTAATGAGAGATTTAATGACACATCTAGAATTTTTAATAATATATTTACAGTCTTGATTAAATTAAGCTCATCTGGTTACTCTACGCATAAATGGCAGCATAGTTTTATTGAGAATGATTGGCACCAAGCGTGTTCAAGTAATTCGGAACTCCTTTGCCACCGATATTAGTTCTAAACGTCAGTTACGAGGATCGAGTCGACCGCACAGTGATGGACGAACTTTTGCAGTAAAACTATCTGACGTGTGCGCCTTGAAGAGAGATCCCGGACCCTGTCCGGGCTCGGCATTGCGCTGGTATTACGATGCCGAGCGCGGTACTTGTAGCCAATTTGTTTACGGCGGTTGTAAAGGCAACGCCAATAAATTCCGTACTCTTGCTGCCTGCCAGCAGCGTTGCCCTTCAGAAGGTACTGACAATAATAAGGAGAGAGCTTAACGCTGCTTCGTGATAACATTCACACGCAGAACAGAGAGGACTCGGCACCATTTGACTCGATTTCGAAAAAGTGTCCTCGTTTTTTTTTATAGCACACTATAGCACTTAGGTGACGGTGATCAAAGAAGGCACATCCACGATGCAATACTGGAGCAGGTTCAGCACCAATGATCACGATTCACAATCGTGCTTTAGCTTCCACACAATATTAATTATTATGTTAAACGCATTTTTCCTCTCATATAATCCTGTCGCACAATTTTTTAAAAATTTCTGGAACTGAAAAGTTGAGTGAGAAATATAATCAGTACGCGAGTCTTTAATTTTTTTGCAATATGTCTCATATTTAATTGCAAAAGTTTTATTTTGTGTAATCTTCTGAATTAGATTTAAGTCTGTTAGAAATTTAATAATATAATATATTATATTCTACGTAATTTAACTCACATAATCATTTTTTACACAAAACAATTCAAAATTCAGAGATTCTATTATGGTTATTACTAAACATTATAACACATTTATCTGGGCTCATTTAAGCATTATAATTCTTTACTTTATAACTCAAATAGCTTTATAATATACATGCTGGTGATGGAATGTGAAAACTGTCAAATATTTTTAAATGATTTTATTTTGAACGAATGCGTATTTTTAGCTGCTATTACATGCTCTATGGTTGATGACTAATGGTAGAAGTTTCAAATTCTATTAGCGACATATATAACTATAATGAAGTAGCTAGGACAGATTTGATTAACGTTTGCTCTAACTTTGCATGACATAATAATTAATGCGATTAATAGATCTTTGCACGTTGCCGCGGGCGGAGGGTACATGCACAGAGAAACAATCTCGATGGTACTTTGATCAATCGGAGAATCGTTGCATGCCATTCTATTACACCGGCTGTGGTGGCAATAAAAATAACTTTGAATCTAGAGACGTATGCGAGACTGATTGTCCGCCTAAGATCGGTAAGATTTTCCTCTTGCATCTTTCCTATAATATCTTTCTCTACTTTAAATTCTCTTAATCTTGAAAGCGCTATTTTTTTTTGAGAATTTTTTTATTATTTTTTATCCTTAACACAAATTTTTTTTATATGAAACTGCACGATGCATGAGAAACTATAGTTGAAAAACTTTATATCTAGTGATGCACATTTTAATAGCATATCACATACATTTACACAATTACACGATATTTTTTCAATATAAAAAACAATTTTATAAATATTTGAGCTAATCTTTCAAATTGATTCTATGATAATAATTTATCAGAATTTCTTATAAAATTATTACTGTATTAATTTGTTACTTTGAGGCATAAAAAACAGATTGAAAAGTTTTTCTTCAATTTTATCGTTATATCTTTTACTTTTATAATCGCAATTGATTGACAAAGCTTATTTAAAAAAAAGTAGCGTATCGACAAATACAATTTCTAAATTCACGAACATAGAACAAGACATTTGTCTCCTGCCTGCTCTCCTGGGTGAGTGTCACAATTACACTCAACGATGGTACTACGACTCCTACGAGCAGCACTGCCGACAATTCTATTACGGAGGATGCGGCGGGAATGAGAATAACTTCGTGAGCGAGCAGGATTGCGTCAATAGGTGCGAGACGGCCGTCACTACGCCAACCCCGCCGGAGCAAATCGAGTTTCGAACAGGTAACGTTTCCGACGATCTCGGAAATATAGCCGCGCTGTAAGGTATACTGCTACTGTGCTGATATAAACGAAATGTCGCAGAATTCTGTTTCTTGCACGATGAACACGGCCCGTGCTCTGAGAATCAGGTCAAGTGGTTCTACGACAGTCGTGACGGTGTCTGCAAACAATTCCGGTACGGTGGCTGTCAGAGCAACGGGAACAACTTCAACACTCGCGAGGAATGCGAGTATCGTTGCACAGAGCTTCAAGGTATAGAGATTTAGAAAACGGTGAATGAAATTATAATCTCGACAATATCTATTCGAGTATATACAAAATATATTAATTATCTTATTATTTTATTTTTTATTTATTGCGACAGAAATAGTTAAACTCGGAATCTTCTATGGAATAATCTAAAAAAAAATATCGGGAAAATTTCAGATCCTTGCACGCTGCCGAAAGTGGTCGGTCCCTGCAATGGCTTCGTGAAGCAATTCTACTATGACCAACGTGGCGATTCTTGCGACGAGTTCGAATACAGCGGTTGTCAAGGCAATAAGAATCGCTTCCAGGATAGGGAATCCTGCGAGAGGCAGTGTAGGCGACAGCCGCCAGTTACGTCACCGGAAGTTATTCAAGTCACGACAGTATCGCCTTTCGAAGAACCAAAGAGCCCGATCTGCTTGACACCGGTCGATTCTGGCGACTGTGACGACTCTGTCACCGGGGTACACGAAACCATCACCGCGTATTATTACGATGCGCAACATCAAATGTGTCAGGCGTTCATTTACAGCGGCTGCGGGGGTAATGCTAACAAATTCCAGACCGAAGAACAGTGCGAGCGACTTTGCGGCAAGTTCCACGGACAAGGTAAAAAAATATTGGGCAGAAAGTTACATATATAAGAATGTCTTTTCATAATTTGTAAAAAATTACATAATTTATAATTAGGCTATACTTCGCTAATCTTCTTGATATGCACAATGGAATTTTTCTTTTATGCAGCCATAAAATTTCTCCTTTAATTATAAACATTAAAATATATAAACATTAATTAATATATAATTAAATATTAATTATAATTAATATATAAACATTAAAATTATTAATATATAAATTATTCAAATAAAATCTAATTTTAAAGATTCTAAGCAGAATATTTGCACAGCACACGTAATTATTTTTTAATTTTTAAACAAACTAAATAATGATTGTTTAGATTAGTATATAATGAGGATCGAATTATAATTGTCTCAGACATGTGCAATCTCCTCATGGATTCTGGCCCGTGCAGAGGCGCTTTCCGCAAGTATTACTACGAACCAGGCTTACGTACCTGCCGTGAATTCAATTACGGCGGATGCGATGGCAACGCGAATAGATTCAGCACTATCTCCGAATGCGAGTCAATCTGCATACATCACGAGGAGCCTGTACCTCCCGGGAATGACACTAGCGTTTCGAATTTGTGTACGTACAATTAGTTTATTATTTATTTCTATCGTCTTGAACAATGATCTTTCTTTAAATTATTAATTTATAAAAATCGTGCTACTTTTGTCTATCGCGATCGCCTCTAACGAGATCAGATAAACTTGGAATGACAATATTCGTAATAATGATACAGCGATCTGTAAAGAACCGGTCGATAGTGGGTCTTGCACGTCTGGTTCTGCCAAGCGATTCTACTTCGACGAGGAACGCCAAACATGTTTGGCATTCATTTATACCGGATGCGGCGGCAATCGAAACAGATTCAAGACTTTTGAATCATGCATTAATAGTTGTCTTAGGAGTAAGTCCAGGATACGACATTCTTAACAAGTTTCTCTTATTTTTTTTGTGTTTTTTATACTTCATCTTTCAGCTTTGTACAGCAATATGCAACAACCATTTCTTTTTTTGTATATACAACTTTCATTTTTATATACTTTTATATTATACTTTTATATATTGTTACGTCCAGATTCATAAAAAGATGAGAGAAAGAACGCTTGTTTACCTTAAAACGCACGTTTTATGGCAAGTATCTTGGAAGAGCTTTAAACAAGTCAATGACCGCAAGAGTTGTGTTATTCTGTTAATCGTTCGCTCGGCGATGAGTAATAATAATTCCTAATAATTCCGAATATTTCTCAAGAATTCCTAATAATTCTTAAATATTTCCTAATAATTTTTTAATATTTTTTATTGTTGAGACTCGATAAAACATACAAAACATACGAAATTTCCTCTATACAAATATATAAATTTTAAATTGCTTCAATTTCTTCGCTTGATATAAACATTAACGTGCCTTATCATATATTAATTCTGTGCAGCAATATATATGTGCCAACAGCTTTTTTCTTTTATTATATTAGAATTATTCTTCCTTAAAAGAATAAAATTTTTCAATTTCTCGTAACGCACATAATTGCAGCAAGTAACGAAATAGACGTGGAGTCCAAGGACACGAAAGATAGCTGTGCGGAGGCCAAGGAAGAATGTAATATCGTTCGTTGTCCGTACGGCAAGGAACAATACGTGGATTCGCAAGATTGCGAACGCTGCCGTTGCGTCGATCCTTGCAGGACGAAGGTCTGTCCTGAGGGTACTCGATGTGCCATTACGCTGGTCGCTACGCAAGACGGTACAGAGTACAAGGGCGTTTGTCAATCGAGTGAGTATATCATTAACAACATAAAATATATTTAATATTTGCATTCATATTTTCTCAAATTAATTTTACGTCTGAAACAATTTTCTTGCACTAAAATAGTTTCTTGAAAATTATATTTTTTCAGAAAAAAGGGATAAATAAGTTTGATATTAAATTATCACCTCTCCTTTCTATGATCTTGTGCAAAATAACGGAATCATTTTATTTTTGCAGTCATTAAACCCGGCCGTTGTCCAATAGTATCCAATAGTACTCGATGCGAGCAAGAATGCGTGACAGACGCGGATTGTCCTGGAGAGTGGAAGTGCTGCGACAGTGGCTGCGGTACATCTTGCTTGGAACCGGCGCCGGAAGAGCCGTTGACAACGACGTCACCCACCGTCACTCCACCGCAATACGGCGGTGAACCCGCAATGATTCAACAGCCCGATGAACCTCATGTCAGCGCACAGGAGGGAGGTTACATCACGTTAAAGTGTGTCGCACTAGGAACTCCTAGACCGATTATCACGTGGAGGAAGGACACTACACTGGTAATTCATTTTATAATTTAATTGATATTTTATTCCAAAAAAAATGACAAATACGTAATTATAATCGAGCAATTGTATTTCCAATTATTTAAACTTATAAAATATTATAAGTATATAATTCCTTAGATTGGACCTTCCGAGACGAGACGGCGCATATTGCTCGACGGATCTCTTCAGATCATTAATTTATACACTTACGACAGAGGAACTTATGTATGTACTGCTGATAACGGCTTAGGACCACCGGTAAGAGCGGAGTATCAATTAGAAATCACAGGTACGTGGAGAATCGAGTTATCTTGCATGGAACGATTTACTGAATGTATAATTCTAGGTAGAATAGGTTTAACAGGTAGATGGTGTAAGGTTGTAATAATTTTGCAATTAATGAATGTCTCTGATTGGTTGATGTGAAATGAACATAAATCTTTTTTTCCACTTTTAATATTAATCTTAAAAAATAAACATACATTATGGATTTTACTTTATGAAACGCATTATAAGACTGCTGCGAAAAAATTTAGAAATATCTTTTAATACTCTGATAAAAAAAATTAATTAACTTTTCCGGGGATGTGATACAATTAACACTTCTCTCTAAGCATCGCGCATGCTCCTCTTCTTGCACTCTTTAGCACCAAGCAACCTCGCAGCCGCCATCATCGGAGAGCCCGATACTCGCATAACGGTGACGATGAACTCGCCGATAGCTCTGCATTGTTACGCGATGGGATGGCCGAGGCCACATGTCACCTGGTGGCGCGGTGAGCGCATGTTGCCCTTGTCTTCGGAGACTTACGAGCAGGATACTGACTATACCCTTCTGATACGCTCGGTAACCTTGACTAGCCTTGGTGTTTACACCTGTCAAGCATTCAATGCCGTAGGTCCAGCAGCGTCGTGGTCGACAATCCTACAGGCAATTGGACCCGTATACAATGTTAAACCTGAGCACGAGGAGTACGTCAAGTACCTCGTACAACCCCCGAAGAGACCCACTACCGAGAAACCACAATATCCTTATAGACCCACTAGAACGCAATCCCCCGAATATCAGACTTATGCCCCTGTTTATCCCTCGAAACCACCTCGTATTCCTGCTGTTATCCCTCTTGAAACCACCACCGTCGAACCCGGCGGCGCCAAGTTTAAAGGTGAGACCACGCGATAATTGAATGGACATTTCTATCATAAATTGTACTCATCATTGTGTCGAGTATATTTGTTTTTTTTTTCAAAAAGAATTTTTTCACAAATTAGCGAAGATTGTATCTGTTACAAGTTAAATTGTTGCAATTTTATTTCTCGTTATTGATCACAATGATGATGCAATCGAATTCTTTTTGATTCTTTTTTCTCCTGCATGTATATTAATACTTTAATCATCTGCATCTTGTATTATTGCTTGGGGCTGTTATGATAACTCGCTTATTGGCTGTTTTAAATATAAAAACTTAAATATAAGAGTTAAAAACTTAATTTGTTATTTATAGAAATAAGCGAAACCGATAGTAAGTATACGGAAATATTTTTTACATTCTCTTGCTTTATAAATTTTTTATTTAAATCTATTTTTATATTTTTTATTTATAACAGAAGGAGAAAAATTATCATATAAATATTAATCAATTTCACTTGCAGTACCAGTCAAAGTTAATGCATCGGCAGGACAATCACAATTCCCCGAAGGCAGTGACATAAGCATCGCTTGTGCCGTGGACGGTTATCCAATCCCACGTGTCCTCTGGTATAAGAACGATGAACTCATTCAAACAAATAATCGAATCAAGATTTCTGGTAAGAATGTAATAATAATAGATTAAATAATAAGTATGTGATAAGAAATAATTATTTGATTTGAACTATTTTTACATTTTTATATTTTTACTTTTATGACAATAAAAATAAATACAGATGCTTATTACATTTTTTTTTTGTTTTTAGAACTCAATCGGCTTATCATCAGCGATGCAAATCAAGAAGATTCCGGCCGATATCGATGCGAAGCGACCAATGAATACTCTTCGGATTCCGATAGCGTTGATATACGCGTAGCTGGTGAATGATAATTCTGATTTATCAGTACTTTTTACGCGAATATAAATTCTTGAACGCCCACTTAATTAATCCATTTATCTCTTTCAGGCATCTTCATTCATCCTCATTGCCAGGACAACACGTTCTTTGCCAACTGCGAACTTATCGTGGAGGCCAAGTTTTGCACGCACAAGTATTACGCCAAGTTCTGCTGTCGATCGTGCACAGAGGCCGGCCAGTTGCCGGCGAGAGGACCCCATATCGACAACTCGAAAAGAAGAAGAAGGAGATCTGTTCTTCGAACGCTCGTCTAAGATACCAAATCGACTCTTCGGTATTTCCGACTCACACGTGATAGCACATATCGATCTTGGATCGTGGCCGGCGGGATACGCGACAGAGAAGGAAACGGAGAGAAGGGGGAATCATGCGCGCATCCACCTGCCCCTATCGGACGTGCCGAATAATCGACTTGTTAACTCACTGCCAAAGCCTTAGAGCGTTTATACATAGATATAATATATATATGCGATATCCATCTCTAAACGTATGCGACTTGTGCGATCTCTCGCCTCTCTATCCATGTATATACGATCTGATGCTGAATCCTAGTCCGACGGAGCCATATTAGGCGGATTAATTAACTTGTTCTTAAGAGACCGATGGAAATGTCGCGCATATCTCTCAGACGACATCCCGTAATAACTAAGGTAACCAATGTCGGCTGATTAAGCGCGTAGATCGTGTTGTCGAGTCTACGGGAAATATTACTTCTGATTGATGTTTCCTTTAAATAATTGACATCTTCGAAATTTTAATCGAAAAATAATTAGAAAATATTTACATTCTTTCCTATGATAAGGTGATCGCGCAAACTCCTTTTGAAACCGGCTTGTCAAAGATTCGATAATTCCCGCCCGAAAACACGATCTGAAGAGTCTCGATCGATATGACGATATAGGATGGCCATTTTTTTCTCATGCATTATGGTATCAGTCAATGACGATTGTACGAAGTAACGAAAAAGAATATACATGCGTGAAATAAAGTTCTCTCCATAGAATATTGTCTAAATCAAGCGGGATCTCTGTCCTCCTGTCATTGAATGCACTGTGCTGCGTGATTAAAAAAAGGAATCTGTACCTACTTGTATTAAGCATATTACGCACGTTACGTTGTACAATATAAATAGTTTATTATTCTCAATATGCCATTTATATTCTATGATATTGTTATTACTTGTTTCTTATACTCGAATTATACATATATTGCCATAACGCGCGTCGCCGCCAGAATAAATTACATCAATCTTTCTTCAGGAAAAGAGAAAGACGGATCGTAAACTTCACTTTTCGTCGATAATCGACAGTAATCTTTAACGGAATTAAAATAATGAACACATTTTCAATCTTGAAAATTTTACAAAAAAGAAAAACGCAATGTGTGCTTAAATACAAATGCATAAACACACAAGCATATAATTCTATTTGCGCGAACGGCAACTTTGTGCTCGATGCATATGCAATATTCTTGAATTGTGTGTCACGTTATATCTTTCGCTTATCGTAAAATGTATGTACAGTCGATTTTTCACTGTATCCAACAATCAGTTATATCTTTCACGCGCAAATCTATTGCATTTAATGTTTGTTCCTGACGAGGCATTTTATAATCGTAACTATTAATTATATATTACATTTTCTATTTCGCTAGATGCATCGTCATTCATAATATATCTGATAGATCGTAGAGATACCAGTCGATGATTAGAAGGATTAAGAGAAAATGAGAGAGAAGAGATAAGAGGTACCAAACCGCATTTATATCCACACTACACATATACACATACACTCATATCGTAAATGTAAGTCATAAGACGAAATCAACGTGTCGCGCGCCTCTAGGACAACTCTCTTGATTATTTCGTACTTGTACCGATTCAGTAAAACGCAGTGCCTTATTAGATGACCTTTGGAAGGATTGGAGAAAGAGTGCTGAATATACACAACGTCTCGTTAGTGTAAATAGTCATATGTATTGTACTCACATACTTATTTCCGAAATGCGCGACGCATGTATATCATCTCGTATATATCTAAATTATTAGATTATAGATTTAATTCGGAAAAGTCGGGATTTCAACCGTGAGATATAAGAATAGATATTATCGACGAAAATATTAAGTACTCTTCTCCTCCACACTCCTCTAAACATTATCAAGAGACAAGTGTTAAAATCGTTATAGCGACAAGTACCATATGTAGAGTAGTGACTCTTAATTAATTGACGATCTAGTAAGTGTATAGGCAATCGACGTTGATTAGCTGTTTTCGCAGAGAGAATTCCGGAATTGATTGCGAATGAGAAAATCGTCTTGGAATAAAATACGAGAACGCAATGGAAGATTGAAAATCGTTCTATAGACACGTATGTCGACTGTAAACGATTATTTATGTCGTGTGACTGAAGTATCACAGCCTCCGAATCGGGCCGTCGCCATTTTATGCATAGATATTCATATTCACCCTTAATTTACACCATCGCAGCGTCGTTAATTCAGACACATATCCCAGAACAGGACGGTAATATCTTGTACAGTGACCACCGATGTCTGCAGATATCACTGTGGTACGATTCGCAGCCCGTTACGATTAAAGCTGATTAATCGAGACCGCGAAGCTCGCACTTGAAACTTATCTCGCGTAAACGACATCGGGTATATCGATAATGATCTGCTGTCTTCCTTGTATTGAACCGTGTCACAGTACTTTCTTTTCTTCTACCTTGACTGATAAATCGACTATGTTTCATCACGATCGATACTATGAGTCTCGACACAAAGCTCTGACTTTTTTGTAGAAGAAACTTGCCAAAAAAGAGAAAGAGAGAGAGAGAAAGAATCACAATTCATATCCCTCATGCATAATATTGATAGAAGTATAGCTCGTCACGACAGTGCTACCATAAAGTCTTTAGCGGAGATGTAATTGTAACTATAAGTACCTTATATATAGGTATATATAACGATTAATAATATATATAATTTTAAAATATAAAAGTAGATATATATAAATATATGAGAATACCACACATCCACCATCACCACACTGTACGATTATTGTATGGACAATAATAATATATAAGGTCCTTAAATATATGATTACACAATCAGCATGATTATTATTTTGGTGATAAAAAACCAAGCGCTTCATGAAAAGTCAGCTTTATTTCGAGAAAACGCTGTTTCAATTACAAACAATTATGCAAAAATTATTAATTCGCAACGCTTCTTTTTCAATTTCTCGAGAATAAAAAAAAGAAACTCGCGGGAAAGATTAAGCAAACCGCATGTATACTCAAATTCTGGTTTCCGTTGGCTTGCTGCGTAGATTTGGTCCGCGACTCGGACGCATTAAAAACCGCTTGTGCTGTTCCTCGACGCGAACGGTTTTCTCCACGCGTTCCGTGGCGATGCGTTCGATCTCTGCGAACAGCTCGCTGTGCACGTCTATGCAATGACGGAAGTCCTTACGATCAAGTCGATATACTTCGCAGACTTCGATCGCGATGATGCTGGCGACCCTCCGCTGATCCGCCACCAGGAGCGCGATCTCGCCGAAATGATCACCGTCACTCAAGTGGCACATCTTGTGTAACGCAGAATAATTTTTTTTATAACAAACGTAAATACATTGAGAATAAAACACTCACTTCCTTTCCAGTTGGTGTCAGAACCGCGACAGTTCCGGACGACAGGAAGAACATGCAATCACCTTGAGTGCCAGCTTTAATGATTACTTCGTTCGGCAGGTACAATTCGAATTTTAAATTTTTCACTATTGACTGCAGAACGTTTTTCGGTAAATTCTTGAAGATTGCCACGTTCTCGATTAATCGTCGGCAGGACTCTAGAGCAATTTCTTCACGTAACGGTTCTGCGAGAGGTTTAGATTAAAAATACCGAGATTTATTATTTCGGTGGAAATTTTACATAATTAAATATCTGACAGCTTTACGAACCTGTCAATTCTGATAAGATTCGTTTACCACGAAAATAAGTATTCTTAAAACGGTAATGATAATAAGCTAAGAGACGTTTCTTCATATGTGGTAATAGTTGCTTTTGTATTGTATACGCTTTTACTTGATCTATTAGTTCTTGAAACTTTGATTCGGACGTTTTTCTTTCAGTCTTGATACGAAGGAACATAACTGAAAGAAAACATTGACATACTTAATAAAAACGTAATTTTTGATAAACAAATATATATTGCATACATAATGCCATACCCAACATATAGCACACAATGAATCTGCCAACAATCATAAGAATATTATTAAAAATAATATGAACGTTTTTCTCAGGAATGAATAAACCATAGCCACTTGCCAATATATTTTCCAGCACGATAAATATAGCGTTTTTTAATCTGTACCTAAGACTGGTGTCTTCCAATCTCATCATCCAACACTCCTCGCATTCCTTTTCATGAAATAATATTTTGACAATTATTGTTTTAGAAATATGCTCGACATAATTCAATATTGCACTTACTATTGGTGGAATGTTGAGAAGGTACATTATTAAGATTGGTATCAAATAACAGAGGCAAGAAAACCAAAAGATTAGATATAATCCCAGTAACAATGTAGTACACATTTCAAGATAAAAATTCTCAATTTCCAAATGCTAAAATAAAAAAATTTGCAATATTACATCGTTATCGTTATGTATATTAAAATACAAGAAAATATTACCATAAATAGGTAACGAATATTTGCGTGAAGGGTATCGTAGCGTATTAACTTCACGACAGGCATTATGTTAAGTAAGATAACAATATGATGGGGATTATCTCCAGGAAGTTTTCGCCACGGTAATGTTATATGATCGTACGGTAGAGACGATAGCACATCCGGCACGAGAAAACCTTTCAAATATGATCTACGAACGTTTGCTCTTATTATTATGCGCGAAAATTAATAAGAAATAATTATAATCAAGCTAAAAGTTAAAGTATTAACTACAAGATCTTACATAAATATTTTAGTAGGCTTCACCTCGACAGACATATTTTTATAATCATAGTATCCCGTAATGCAATTGAACGTTATATCCAACCAACAAATCGTATAAATTAGAATATTTACTCTGTCTAAAGTAATGAATTCATAGTCCATTATGACGAAGCATATCATAAAAGGGATCGTAAAGAAAGCAATCAAATATATTGCCATCATAAATGTATCCCATAAAAATCTGAAAATCTTCATGTTATGTTGAACAAAGTGAAAGTAATGTTTACGCATATATATATATATATATATATATATATATATATATATATATATATATATACTATCAATTTTCGACCTTAACGAAATAAAGAAGTAGATTGGCTCAAATTAAGAAGGAATGACTTGTATTGGTTTGGGATTGTCGCAATAATTAACGAAATATTAAATAAAGAAGATCGGCCAATCTACGTGAGTAGAAGCGCGCGGAGACGAGAGTCATTCACTGTAATTCGATACTACGGCCGCGGCGAAGCGGTGGACGGGTCGCTTTCCGAGATATGATGGTGATTTGCGATATATCGCATTACCGCGTCGAAAAATGACACGTTCTTTTAGTGGCGAGAAAATGATGCGCTATCATTTCCACACCACCTTGCGGTAGACAGCATGATGCGCTTTTTTTATAGTGGTTTCCCCCATAGGCCTATTCCACTCTCAATTTGAAAATTATTCAAAACGCCATTACTATACGCTGAATATATCGTAAATGTAAAAAATTAATAATGACAGTACCTTTACAAAAATTGATCCGTGGTTTAAAATCCCTCGATAAAATGTATTGCACACGTTGATAATAATATGATGATAAAATGCTTCAAGAATCCTTTCTTCATCTCGTATACGAAGGGGGGGAAACCACTATAAAAAAAGCGCACCATGCTATCTACCGCAAGGTGGTGTGGAAATGATAGCGCATCATTTTCTCGCCACTAAAAGGACGGGTCATTTTTCGGCGCGGTATTTCGATATATCGCAAACCACCATTGTGTCTCGGAGAGCGACCCGTGCACCGATTCGTCGCGCTCGTAGTATCGGATTACAGTGGGACGACTCTCGTCGCCGCGCGCTTCTAATACTTAAGTGTGAGTCCAAGAAGCAGATTTCGGATATTCACTGTAAGTCAGCCGCTCCTCGGGCGATCGGGACGAGATTTAAAAGGTAGTGCCGCGAAATGGTGTAGAATTTTATGCAAAAAGAATGAAATCGCTATCGCGTCCGGAAGTCGAGATATAAATTGGCCGTTTTTCGTCTGTCCGCGGACGGTCGAAATCGTGCACGACGCCGCGCATGTTGCCTGCCTCTCTCGCGCGATATTCACTGTAACGCGGCGAGTAAAATGGCAGGCCGAACGTAATCGTTCGATTAATTGATTAAATACTTATATATATCGACCGAAAAGATGAATCGGAATGCAATCGTTCGATTAATTAATTAAATATTTATATATATCGAATAAAAAGGCGAGTCGGAATGCAATCAGTCGAATAGTGAATTTAATATTCATATATACCAAAAGAAAAGATGAATCGGAATGCATTCGTTTGATTAATTCGTTAAAAATTTATATATATATATATATACATATATATATATATATATAACGAATTAATCGAACGATTGCATTCCGATTGATCTTTTCGTTCGATATATATAAGTATTTAATTCACTATTCAACTGATTGCATTTCGACTCGCCTTTTATTCGATATATATAAATATTTAATTAATTAATCGAACGATTGCATTCCGATTCATCTTTCCGTTCGATATATATAAGTATTTAATCAATTAATCGAACGATTACATTCTGGTTCGCTTTTTCGTTCGGTATATATAAACATTTAACGAATTAATCGAACGATTGCATTCGGCTTGTCATTTTACTCGCCGCGTTACAGTGAATATCGCGCGAGAGAGGCGGGCAACATGCGCGGCGTCGTGCACGATTTCGACCGTCCGCGCGTAGACGAAAAACGGCCAATTTATATCTGGACTTCCGGACGCGATAGCGATTTCGTTCTTTTTGCATAAAATTCTACACCATTTCGCGGCACTACCGTTTAAATCTCGTCCCGATCGCCCGAGGAGCGGCTGACTTACAGTAAATATCCAAAATCTACTTCTTGGACTCACACTTAAGTGTAATATTTATATTTATCGAATAAAAAAGCGAGTCGGAACGCAATCAGTCGAATAGTGAATTAAATATTTATATATACCAACCGAAAAGATGAATCGGAATGCATTCGTTCGATTAATTCGTTATATATATATATATATATATATATATATATATATATACATATAAAATACGCATATAAAAATTTACTCAATCTTTCGTTTACATTTAAAATGTATATACCTGCCATAGCTAAAGGGATGTATTATCCACCAATATTTGAGTGCGACATGTCTTGCTCTTTCGGCAGTTATTGTAGCCATGCTGTCCATATAAAGTTTGCTTTTTGGAGTATGTTTATTAATACCGCACCACGTTATCCATATGTTTTTGAAAGTCAATGATTTTACAGCAGGAAATTTATCCTTTTGATTCAAAAACAACTGACACGTATGTTCCATCATATATGGTTTAATGCGAATAAAGAAAAATGTGCTTTTTATCACCAGTAAAGAGAAGAGTTTCCAAATGACATATTAGGTTAAATAATCGAAATGCAATTATTAAGAATTTAAAACGATTTTCTATTGTTTTCTAAAAATTCCCGCAATAAAAACGATGGCTTTTCTATTAAGGGAAAGAAGAATAGGATCTAACATTTCAAGATACGTATTCTACATAAAATTAATTATGACACATTGTACTTGTTGTGTTTATTAAAAATGTATTCACATTAAAAAATATACAGGTATATAGGATAAATCTTATAATAATATTATAATAATCATCTATCGCATTGCTTAGAGCGGTTTGCCTATTTTTATTCTGCGTTAATAAGTGCACACTTTTAAATACTGCGCACATTATACGATACGTTTCGAGAATGTCGAATTTTAATGATATTGAATACGATTTAGCTTAAATTTTTCCTTTTCTGTGAAACTAATTTTTGAACATTATTACAACTCTTTTGTGCGTATATTAATCACAACGATTATGATTACGTATCTTCTAATTGATTAAATATAACGGTATCCAACAAAGGAAGCATTCCCTTTCAATCATTCAGTATTCTATGTAATTAGATTCATATTTTATGTATCATACAATTTTAACGCGAATTTTTAAAATTGCATAAAAACATAAAACCAAACATCTATTTTTAATTGTTAATAAACAATGTAGATATGTTTAAAAAACGAAATTATTTTTATATTGTTTGTGTGATGTTTGTTACATTATTTAACGCGAAGATTAACTCTATTAAGAATAGTTTTTTAAGATATTGATGTAACTGAGTCACAAGAGAGAAAAGATTTTCTTTAAAAAAGTAACATTGATTTAGAGAGAATTTAAGTTATCAGTCTTCCCGGGTATACCTTTTCCTACATTTTCTCTTTTCACTTTTTTCTTCTCTTTTCTCTTTCGATATTTTCTATTTTATTTTATAAACGTTTTAAAAAAATACAACTTGCGATACAATCACGTATAAACGTGCCATCTGCAATTACACAAGTAATCATGTCAAATTTCTCGTGGCGATACTTCTTTTTACATTTACGGAAATATGTTTTATAAATATGGAAATATGTATACAATATTACGCTATTCAGGCCAGAATATTGTTCTATCGTATTTATACTCATATGTATAGTTCGTGCGATACTGCACGATTCTGCTGACCTAGAGATTCTCAAATACATTCCACGGAAAGTGAAGAATTTTAAACAGAGAGGGAATAGATTTTTATTTCATCTATAATTTAAAGTATTTTATATCTAAAAACGCGCAAATCTATAATAAAATTTAAAAAAAAACATTTTTAAAAATAAGTAATATAGTGATTATAAAATAAAATATTATATAATAAGTGATTATACTAAATTCTTTTTATAGAGAAAACGACAATAGTTTTTCAATTATCACGTTGGTTCTATCAAATTTGAAAATCTCTAGGCTGTAGAAGCCAATCTATATTTCGACTTCACATACATATTAATACAACATTGATGATACTACAATTTATAAATACGCGATCATCTATCCGATAATCCGCGTCTGAGCTCGCATATGTTACTTTTGAGGTACTGGGATATTTCATTTTTCCTAGGATACGAAATTGCAAGGGTCATCGCTCGGATACCCAGACAATTAGTGTTCTGTATCGATTTATCAATCAAAACGACAATTATACAATGTCGTTTATCATTTTTAACTGACATAAATTCAGTGTATATAACTTTCGGATTACACATACAACATACACGTGTCAGAAATCGATACGGTCGATCAACATTAATTATCAAAATGCATCAACTTCGGGAATATATCGGTACAACATCGGGAAGAAATGTAGCAGGAACACATTGTCCAAGCATCTCTCACTGGTCTCCGACAATGTCAGACAACGATTAACAGTCAGTGTCCTTACTACACATGTATCAAACACATCACAGAGATGTTGTCGGGTTTTTTTTTGTCTTTTCTAAATTTTACTCTCCGCAGAAGGTGAGAATCTTACCCAAAATTACGAATCGTTCCCCGTGAACATATCACAGCGCGCAGTGATCCTTCCTCGGAAAGTTTCGCATTAAAAATCGACCCTTACACGTCGATACCGAGCAGCTCCCGGCTGTCGGCCCTCGAAAGTCGACGACGTAGACTGCGACGACGGAACTCCCTCCATCAGACAGATGCGCGTTTCACCCGGAAACTGGCAGAGATCGGGGGCGGTCGGTAGCCCTGATAGCCAGAAGGATCCAACAGCTCGGAGGTCGCCGGACCGAGGCAGGTACAGGAGCACACGCTCACGCAATCATCCGTGTCGTGCACGATCGGCACCTGGTTAGCCAGAAGCTTACCGTTTACCGCCACAACCTCGCCGTCTAACGTTAAAACGTGATGCGAGGCGGAAACCAGCTCGCTATCATCACGACGCGCTTCACCACTATCCCTGCAACACAATATATTTCGAAAGATAATATTTTTTAAACAGATATACAAAATTACTATGTTACAAAAAATATATTTACGTAGTCATGAAGCGCAATACAAGTAAATTAATGCTGGCGGCGACTACAGCCAGACCAAAGAGAATGAAGACCAAACTCAAGATGACGTATCCAGGTTTATTGGAAAGCGCTTGATCGTTCTGCACAATAATTTATCTAAATCATCTCTCCGTTTTTCTCGCACGATCAATAAAACATGGCTTACCTGAAGAGCGACGTAGTCGCCAAAACCTATGGTAGTCAACGTCACGAAACAGTAATAAAAACTGTCGAAGTAACTCCAACCTTCGTATCGCGAAAATACCGCGGCACCCGTCGTGATAATTATACTCGAAAGCAGGCCGGTCGCCAGCATGAGATTCATCTCCGTCGCTTCGGTCTTTTGGCATCTAAGATACGTCTTTGCCCGCCTGATTACAACCGACGCAAACTTATTCAATCGCTCGCCGATGCTCTGGAACATCACCAGTCCCAACGGGATTCCCACCATCGCGTATACCATACAGAATGCCTTTCCGGGTTTAGTCACCGGAGTGGAATGTCCGTAACCTTGCAGAAAATTGATATTAATTCGAATTTATTTTTTGAATAAATGTAATATAATTTTGTTTATTTATCTATATATATTTATATAAAATTTATATTTACTTATTCATATATTTATATTAAATTTATATATTTTTATTACATATCTTTTTTTAGGATTATTCTCTTAACGAATAATAAGATTTTTAAAATTCTATAATTTTATATAAAAAAAACTCACCAATCATGGCTAATACTAAAGTGGCAAAATAGAAGGCACCCGCGAACTTCCACTGCGGCCCAGCTTTGTGCGGCTTATTTTCTATTATCACGATCTCGACCATCTTGTAATCCTCTTGGGTAATGTTGTATTTCCTCATCATATTGCGTTTTATCTCTGCAGCGAGCAGGGAAAGGAAGAGAAGGCATTTCCCGCCGCGCGGAAATAATTAATTATCAGTTATCGATCCGCGAATAAAAATATCTATCGACGCAAACAATGAGGTGGAGGGACTCACCCGAGAGAAATTCCCAGCGTTTCCTCTCAGTATCCGATTCGAGGGCGTCAAATACCGCGGCGCCAACGAGGAGATACGTAAACGTGCACACAACCAACGACAGTGTCCTGACATTCTGTCTCTTCATCTTCGCCGTTTTGCCTCTCCGAAAGAATACCACGCGCACGTACGGCGCGCTATAGAATAAAAAATTCAACGGTCGCGCGTTCGACGAGTTCCCCGAGATTTCCCCTGACGGCAACGTTCCCTGCCACAGGCGACATTTATACGGGAGCACGCGCGAATGAATATTTATCTCTCACCGGACAAACGGACGTCCATGCAGAGGGTTTATACGACATATCAGGCGGAGCGCACGTCCGAGAGATCGGGATGCCACGAGAGTTGACACAATACTCGCAAGACAACAACGTAGCACGCTACTCTACGCCCGAGTATTGATCGCGAACCGGTAGTAGAGGGAGAAACCGAAGGGATGCGCCGTGGTTGATTTCTTCCTAGGGTAGGTATGTACGCGTGCTTACGATTTCGAGCATCGCATGATAACTGCGCCGACGATACAATCAAGTGATAACGGTAGCGATAAAACGGCCGAGTGCTAACCGTGCTCCGATATAGCGACTCAAGTAGTACGACTCGACTTTGCCGCGACAGTAGTTGCGCCGATCATGCACGGACCGCCCGTCCAAGTATGATCTTCTTTGCGAACGCGAATCTATTGTTGATAACTCGGTTGCAATCTGCATGGCTTATCTACAGATTTAAAATTTATTTTTTATCTTTTAGGTAATTTAGTTATTGTTTAAATTCAAGGTGATGAAAGTTCTTCTGGAATACTAAAGATATACATATCTCTGTTTTCGATAAAGTATTATACTTTTAATTGCCTTGAGGAAATATTATGCAAGAAAATATTATGCAGAAAAATTATGCAAAATATAATTTCGTTTGAGGCAAATCTTGAATTATTTAAATCTTGAATTGAATTTAATTAATTAAAGGATTCTAATAAATGTTTTAATTGGCAGAAAAATATAGAATGTTATCATATATTACATTGCTATGTTTTAGATTTTTGTGTGTAAACAAAGACTTATTATTTAAATAATTAATGAGGATTAATAAACTGCGTAATTATTAATGTTTGTATCTTGTTTTATAAACTTTCTGAAATAACATTTTAACATTTTGAAACTTTAATAGACTAAAAAAGAACAATGGAAATGTTAAACTTTTGACCTTTATTGGTCATAACATAGTTTAGTCACTATCAAAAACTTATGATTCATTGAAGTAAAGAACAACGTTCTACACCTACTCGAAACATGACAGCAACAGATATGCTAAAAACATGCATAAAAATATCAAAACAAAATGGTACTGTAAAACTTAAAATACAGGCATTATTTCTATAATTTATTGCCAATTTAGCTTCTGTCCAATTGCTTTCGGCAATGATATCGTATCGGGCATTACCATGCCTTTTCAAAAATTGTCATAAAGTCGGATAACTATAAAACTGGGAAAAAAACGAGCAACCATATACAAGGCATGTCAATGAGAAAGAAAGTTATTTTATCATACATACATATACACAAAAAGCTATAAAAAATATTACTCCTTTCAATATTATTTCTAAAGCTTCTTTTTGGTTTCACAGCAAAAATATTTTCAACGCAAATATTAATTGTTGTAAGTAAATAAAATGTAAATGGAATATAAATTTTTTATGATAATAAAGATAATTTATAAATTTAATGCAATAATATTAATAAATGCGAATTTAGTAAAAGGAAGAATTTATGTCACTTCTCGTTTGTCTACCAAAACTTTAGAATGTCAATCTTATACAACAAACTTATTTAGAAATCTGAATTATTTTCTCCCTGTTGACTGAATGAAAAGAGATTCTCCGAGAGAATCGTTTCATTACATAAAGGTTTCATTATATAAAATCTAATCATGTTGAATTATATAAAAGATGTTGTAAGCAAAAAATATAAACCACAAAAGCTATGATTTTCACATGTGCTGGCAGGTCATTAAAAATTCGATTTAATCTTTGGAGAAGATTGGAACTTTATTATATTCTTATTCTAAAATATAATATCTTATATAAGTATTTTTAGAACAATTATTTTATCGTCAGAAAGTATTCCTGTTGTATAGTTCTCTTTTTCAAGATAATGATACTAAGCACTTTATAGCAATCTTATTAATGTGCAAATATAACATTATGTTTCAGTCATAATTCTATGGCAGGTTTACGATGCCGTTACTCATCCCATCGTACTTTTCACGATGATTTATGATTTCGCTTTTTAACTTTTTCCTCGCGCTTTCATAAATTTCCGTCCGTCACATGATGGGACTGTTTAATAACACTTCTCCGCAAATCCCGATTAAGGAAGCTTTGCGAAGTTATCTGGCATGGCGTGCTCCACAGGGATCCGTCCCAATGAATGCAACATACACGAAGCGTCACATCAAAAGCGCGGATCCGATTATTTGCATGCAGATAGATTGCACTGCTAGCAATCTTGTTTGTTGAACAACGACCTATATTGCGTCACTGTTGAACGAGGTAAAGGACGAGGGAAAGATATTCTAAGAAAATTACCATCGTCTCATCACCAAGACGCGATCGGTTAAAGGTGTAACCGTGTATGTCAAGAAAACTGCACTTTTCTTTTTGCGTTAGTATTTATCTTGTATCTGTGAATGCAATGCGCTTGGGATATCTTTATTTTTTATATCTTTTTATATTCTATATTGATCCACATTGTCTCCCAATGCGGCATTTAATAGGATTTAATGTCGGTTATGTAACAGACGTTAATTAACGTTCTTTTGTTTGATGCTACTTTAAGGGTGCAATGACAAATCGATAAAGAGAGAGAAAAAGATTATGTATTTTTACAACGGACAAAAATAGCCGATGGCTACTAGGAATGAAGACGGGGTTCTTCATGACAAGAAGGGTGTTATATATCAACGGCGACAGGTCGTATAGGTACAAATGTTTGTAAAAAGAACAGAGAGAGAGAATAAACATGCTGAAATTATTCTATCGCTCTTTTTAATCGTAAATTGAAATATTCTTATCTTTAAATTGACAAAAAGTACGATACATGTGTGTTTTATTTTTTGAATGCTGCCAAATAGAAATTATTGTAAATATTGTCAAATTGATATTTTCGAACTTAGTGTCTTTGGAATTTTAACATTAGAAAATCCATAAATTTTAAGATAATTTTAAAACGAATTGCATAATATATAAAAATGCACTCTATTTTTATTTCGTAAAATTATTTAAAATATTAAAATATTAAATATGATGCAACTATTTTAAAAAATATCTTGACAAAGTAAAAAATTAAAAGCAAAATTATTTCAATATTGTTTCTCGAAAAAGGTATTCATTAATAACTTATCTTTTACAAAGATATTCTCACTTTCCTTCGATTTCTGTCTATTTTCCTGCGAAGCGATTGAAAATGATCGAATCGTGCAAAAACGATCATCGAAAAAAGCATCGATAATAATACCGATAAATAGATCAATTTGTATAGAAGCGGAAACAAAATCAATAACATTAATCCAAGTATACATTTCACGCGCTTCATCGAATTAGAATGTATATGCCTATCCTTGAACGTAAGCAATGAACTTGAATGGTTCATTGATTCTGCATCATTGGCCAACCTTCCTTTCGATTTTATTTAACTACATATCAGAAAATACTTTGCGGCCATCTTAGGTCGGAATCAATGAAGCTAAAAATCGGAGAATGCGTATCAAAGATCTCATATAAATTCTATGAATCTATACACATTTGATGTCTCTTAAGACTCTTAAAAATTTAAACAAAATATATGTGGAATAAAGATAAAAGAATTTAAGGATTTAAATACGTCTGAGAGCTAATAAAAAGATTGAAGCTTTTAAGAATTTAAATAATGAAAAGCAATATTGAACGCTCGAACAAATCTCTCGGCTATGTAATGATATAGAATTATGTAAGAAGCCAATTACATGGCATCGATAAAGCATCATTCGTTTTCTATTAATTGTACTTTATTATTTCAGCGCAATACGCAGGATTTCGGGCATGTTCAATCTCAGAAATTATAACAAACTGTTCACAATTCTGTGAGTTATTTTCATTCTCATGATTTAAACACGTTCAGACGTACACTTCGGCGTGCCTCACTACGCATCACGCGATGAAAATTTAATTGGGAAACGCAGAAAGCATTTGGGGTGCAACGTCACGAATAAATAATAATCGACGTGTCGCGAGTAAATAATAGCCACAACGTCGTCCCAACGTTTCCCCGATTAAGCGTTGTAACTGGATCTTGCACATGGTTTCACCAACCGCTCTTCGCGAATCTATCATGAATAAAATTGAAATTCAATTTGTTCGCGTGGTTGTTTGTTCGGTTATCAAGCAAAAACGATTGACCTGATTTTCAATTGTACAATATATCATGGACAATCTAATGTTAACATTTAAATAATGTATCAAATAATATTTAAATAATGTATTAAATAATATTTAAATAAATAAATATGTATAAATATATATTTAAATAAATACTGTATCAAAGATTTAGATTTGGTAAGAAAACTAACATATGGATTTAATTGCAAAATTGATAATTACATGAATATTATCAAGTACTATTATATTAAAATCTTAGAGAGACAAAGATAGAGAGAATCTTAAATTAATATAACTAAAATTTAGAAATGTTTATATCGCGCATAAATTTCTTTTTGTTAAAATGTTTCAATAAGTTTCAAAATTTATATATATTTTTTTTAATATAATTTAAGATTCCAAACCATTTTTAAGGTGATTGTTAAACAGGTGAGAAACAAATATATTTTCAGCAAACGATCGGGATTAAAACACTTGTCGATTATTTAATGATATTTTGAAAGAAAATATTATTTACCTCATTAAAATGCTTTTATTGCAAACATTCAACTTTATACGACGTCTTTCTTATTTGTCAATTCATGCGAGCATTTCAACTCGATTGTTAGAATCACGAACTCTGTTTTTCTCGCAATTAGGTCAAGCGTATAAGTATTTGAAAGTAACGCTCGACCTAACGTTCTACGCTTTTATTGGCATAAAAGCGCTGTGATGCGTATTTGCATTATTGATAAATCCATTCGTACTGTTAATTGTCAACATGCTCGAATTCGCAGTTACAGTTTTTTCATAATTGTTGCTATTTCCGTATTTTGATTGATTTCTTCTACAATTTTTATTTCGCTCATAAACTTGATTTAATAAATATTTTTGTTGATATTATATTTTCCTTTGAGAGTAATATTAAATGTTCACTACTTTTAGCATTAATATGAACTATATATCAAAAGAATAAATCATAACGCGTTTTTTAAATAGAATTCCACGAGTAAGACGTTAGATTGCAGGGAGAAAATGCAGAACTTTATAAAACTCAATGTGATAAATAGAAAAAAAATTCTGCATCTTCATCAAACGCTCCAAGAAACTATTTCGAACCAGGCAATAGATTATTATGTGTTTCTTTAAAAGAATCTTGATCTCGGTTTATCAATGTCATGCTTAAAGCATGATTAAACAGATGCTACCTTTTCCATAGCTTACAATAATTGTTATCTTCATAACAATCATTATTACGCATTGTTATGTGAACATAATCACTTACATTACGCATCGTATATAATTTACGAAATATATGTGTGTGTGTGTGTGTGTGTGTGTGTGTGTGTAAACAACAATCCTTATATATTCAAAGAATTTATTTCAGTAATGCCATCTATTCTTTTGTCGTATCTTCCACCTGTGTGAAGATGATCCTGTAATTTGGCTACCTGACGTCAGTTCTGAATATCTTTGATTACAAATAATTTGACGTTAACCAAATTTTCCACGCAATCATGCTGTAGAAAACACTTTGAAAGCCAAATTGCAAAGAGGCAAAGTAACGTACGGATTATACATACATCGTCTCGTTGATTAAGCGCTTGGATCTTAATTACCGCAACCAGCTAACGAACTAGCGCTTCTACTCATTCGGATCATTACATCTATTTTATCTTGATCGTCTGACCATAGATCAGTTCAAAATTTCTACATCCAACGTGACACGTTATTTCAGACAATCAATGAGCCTATGCTGTCGCACATACATACTAGGAAAAAATATTTTCCTCCGTTTTTTCATTATTCCTGGCCTCGGATACGTGACATCTCTCGTTTCTCGCCTCGTTAAACGTCAAATGGAAAGCGACTCCTATGGGAATTGATCATATTCCGTCGTTTGCTTTGAAATACGATAAAGATGCGTACTCTCAATGAACTATCTTGTGCAATCCATATTGCATTCCGGAATTTAGAAGCCATGGTATGATTTTTTGTAATCGATTCGTTCGCTACGCAATCGAGATGACTGTATAAATACTTTTGAAGCGAAGCGTTTCGCCCTTTACAATCTCGCTCGTTTCAAGTTAGAAGTTAAACGAGGCAGCTTTGCGCGATGACTTCTCTCTCGACATTCTATTTTCCAATAATATGCCTTCTTACAATTATACATAAATCTCATCGCGTCGCATCAAGTTCTATCGGAAACCGTCAAGATACTCGACGAGTAATTGAACTTGATTCCGCGTCTATATATTGGCCCTACGTCCTTGAATCTCTGGGTATGTTCGCGCCACAAGTGTGCAATAAATCACATGTAGCTTGATAAATACCTATGAATAAATCGCCGACGGAGCGATCGTATCGACCTTGAAACTGCATAAAAGTTGTTGCGCGCTTTACACGTGTAAATATACGTATAGAGTAGAATCATATAACGTGATAGCTTCTGGAAAAAGTTGATGACAGAGAAATATTTTTCATAAATAATAATAAATTAAATAATTATTTGTTTATGATGTTCCAGAATTGTTAATAAATGTTTTTAATAATATATGAATTTATGATTTATTTAATAAAAATTTTTATATTATGTAAATAACAAAAGAAAGTAGATAGCGCAATTATATAAAAAGGTTTACTGAAACGTAATAATTATAAGCGTAATAATTATTTTCATTAATCTTGCTGACCTTCATTTTCACATATATTGTAAGAATGAAATTGCTGAATAATATTTAGCTTGTTTTATTTGACGGTATCATATAATTTTTTAGATATTTAATGAAAAAGGTTTATTGAATAAAACGTATTTTTGTAACATCATACACATTTAATAACGCATACTCTCAATAAATCTATTTATTTGAACGTGACAAATGAAATGCGTGGGCGGAGGAGGAGCTCCTCTATCTAAAAAATTCTAATTTAATCCATACTTATTTCTGAGTTTACATTAATAAAATTAGGTTTGAACTAGATTAGAATTTTCTGGGGTGGGAGTGCAAGGGAAAAAGCGCCTCTCCCCCGTCCACGCATATATATATATATATATATATATATATATATATATATATAATTTTTTAAACTAAGCTGTTTACGAGACTGTTACGAGACTGTTTAAAAAATTATAAAATAATATGGGAGATTTCTACTTGATATTAATCAATCAATTCATCAACAGAATCATTTTATCAGTAATTTATAATAATATTAATCGATCAATGATATTAATCAATCAATCATTCCATCAACAGATTCATTTTATCGGTAATTTTACTGTGATTGTATTATATTGCATTATTTTGAAAACAGTAAAATTGGAAAACCATAAAGAGGCATCGTATTGGCATAAAGATATCGTGATATTCAAAGTATATAAATATCGATGCCACAAACACGGTAGTTATTTTGAAACTGAAAGCTCGCACAACTCCGAACGAATTAAGTTAGTTGCAACTGCAGAGACTATCAAAGAGAAAGCTTTATGCATGCAAATATTTGTTTCAAGCTTTAATATAGATCTCTTTTTATAATTATAACATGCGTTATATCTATTGAATTTCCTCTATATTTAATTATCAATTTTTAATAAACGCTCATTAAATTAACAAATTCTTCAGACAAATTATTTAAACGAGAGAAAAAATTTATTAATATCTGTGTGCAAAAAGACGTAATATCTGCTAATTAATTTTTTTTTAAATATTCAAATGCTTTTATAAAATCGAGTGAATCAATACAATTGTTGAGAATATATTTATTTCTGTAAAATTATTTCTAAATTCTCAAAAGAGAAATTAACGACAAATATTTCTCTTAATTTCATTACTCGAGTTCTGATTTCCATTCACCTTTAGGCAGATAATATTCACAGTTTCCTTAAATTCATTTGCCTTTTGAATTAAATTGTTTGATTGTTTCAACTGGAAAACTATTAACTATTATAAGTAAATATAAAATTTTCGTATTAGTTGCTCCATTAAAACATAGACTCGAGCAAATCATGGAAAACAATCTTATTAGCCCATTTATATGCGTTTTAAAATTCATGCAAGTAACCTCTTGGCTTTCACATATATATTTCATTCCCGAATGAGCGTTTCTTGAATCTATTAATTTATAGTTGCGAATATTAAGTAACCAAGCTTTGAGGTTTGAGAGGCTTACAATTACAATATTCATCATATGTAGATTATTATCTGTAATGCAATATGGTAATTCAGTTCGTTAATGAAATACACTGTACATCTCGCAATTACCTATGTAATTAGTTCGCCACGATCAAGTTAAAGCATTAAAGTTATAGATCAAATACACAATATATGTGAATATACAATTTATAGACGACGCTTTATTTCTAGAATAATGTAAATCCAATTTGAAAATTAAAAATATTCCTAAATATATAAATGCTTTCTACATCTCATATTTTATAGGAATTATTTTTAATTTTCATGTCGGCATAGCATCAGATTCCTCTGAGTTCTTAAAACATTTATACCTAAATTATTTATGTATTTATATATAAATAAGAGATTACATCCAATATTAGGCAAAAATGCGAACGAAAGGAAAAGTTGGAAGTTTCGAGACAACGCGTCGCGTTATTATTATTACACGATGATTGATCGGATAATCAAAAAACTACACATGACGTGCGATATTTTTGTCTAACCGACCGCATCTGCGGAATCGAACAAAGTTCGAGAAACGATCGTGCTACAATAAATCGAATTAACGAATAGACGAGGACGAGTACGAGTTTCCGCCGGAAACTTTCCATTCCCTCCTCGTCGACGTTATCCGCCAAAAGTCCCACGAACTTTAATAACATACCATTTCCACGAAAGAGATTCGTAAATTCTGTACTGTAATAAAGTATCATGTAAACAAGATTTAAAGTGGAATTTAAATTTTTATGATGAAAAATAACGATCTTATATTTGTATATGAGTGTAAAAGAACACGTACTAATTAATCTTCTTTTTTATTTACAATATGTTGAGAAAAAAATTGAGAATATTTTCATATTTTATATGTTATGTACATATTTTGTAAAATTTAATAATCATATTTTTTTATGTAATACTTACACAAGTTTTATAGTCTAAAAAAATATATTTTTGTATAATATTGTAATTATTTATTAATCTTAATAATATATTAACTTGTGTGTTTCCTTTTATATATTTATAGAAAAGATTCTTTTTTTAAAATTAAGTTATTATACAGAAATATCAAAACGTAATTAAATTCATCATCGCGATCATCGTTACTTTTCATAAGAATAGAGTAACGAAAAAACGTCGTTCAATTTTTACCTGAAAGCGGAGCCAACTATGCGGGCGCGCAATTTTACGACGCAAACTCGTCATCCGGAAGAGAAGTATCATTATCAAATAATGGCGTCGTCAAAGGGAAAAGCGAAAAACCAACCCAAGAAAAGGCAGATAAAAGAACCAGTATCGCGTCCTAATATCCGTTCTCGCGTTAAATCAACGCGCAGTAAACGCGCAAATACTCCGTATCGACGGCAGCCATATGGTTCTGTCAGTATACCTCAATTGGTCTACGAGCTCCTCACTATCGATAAGTATAATCAAGGTATTGCGACTGACATTATTACGTGACATAAACATTGCGATAGATAAGCTTCAATAGATTCAGGCGTAAAATGGAATTACTCGAGATCTGTCAAATATTTTAATTTTCTAAGCGTCTAATTTGAGCTTAAAGCTAAGCATTTCATTCCAATTATATGCACCATATGTAGCTGTAATCGGTATCTCAATCGGAATTAAAATAACATTAAACTAACATGGTTACCATACATTTGTCGTGGTAGAGGCGAAACGCTTTCAGTCCCCGGAACGCTTCAGGACACCCCGTCGAAGAATACAGAAATATCACGAACGGCAGAGGCTTCCGTACGAGGTGGTCGACCGTTGTGATAGCCCGGAATCCGTTCAAGTGCCCGAGTACGCGATGGAATCTAGACCCACGTCTATTGAAAGTCTCACGGAGTCGATGGACGCTGCAAATAACTCGGCGGTTACGAGTTCTGCGAACAGCAGCGTGTCTAATATCTCAATGAAGCCGATCGCGTTAGCGAATTCGCTCAACAGCGCCAGAGCGCTCTTTAGAAAGAAGTCCCTGGTGCAGCTTATAAACAGCTATATCAAGGCAGGCATCGAGGAAGGTATGTTTTTAAAGTGCAATTTCCTTTTTTAGTAATTAAAAAAATAAAAATTCATTATATATATATATATATATATATATATTAATAAAATTTTAGATTTTTCTCTCTTCTCTCCCCTAGAAACAAAAAAATCCTAATAATATAATTAAAATTTATATTTATATAGATACTTAAATTACATAAATTTATTCTTGAATTTACCGGGATAAATAAAATAATATACGTACTTTTATATTATACACGCTTATGTGCGTCTCTCTTTGATGTAACGAAACCTTTAACAAACCCTTAACAGCCATCTCTTGGGTGTAGCTTTATGATTATATTTTGTGACAAATTTTAAAAGTCTCCTTTATTTTTTAGTTTACATTTTTATATCTAGACATCATAAAATGAAACAACAATATTTGCGCGAAAACGAGAGGATACAATTGCATCCCAGGTCGGAGGCATCGAAGAGAGTCAAATAAACGTGTACAAGTAATGGAATGGCTCGTTCGATGCATCCGTACTGGGAGAGCTGACACGTCGCTGTACGTAAAAGCACTCTTGACCGAAAGGTTAAACTTCTCGGATGACGACCAAGTCGTCGCTCACAGAGAGAATGACATTCATGTTGCAGGGAAGCGACAGGCGAAAAAGTACATCCGCAAGGCGCTGTCATTTGGCGTGAGATCGGGTTACCTGATTCCGGCCGATCGACAAGGTAATGTACTCCATGTATGCCCAACTCTGGACACAGGGTCCTGGAGCACGAGACGAACTGACGTCGAATCGCGACGAAGACGACGCATCGCGCGACGAGGAGAGACCCGGCCGACGACGATCGATGATCGCAAGGCAATGCGTCGCGGAATTCCGCGAGATAAATCGCGTCATGACGTAGATCGAGAGCAAAGGACGTCCAGGAAACGTTTCGTTCAAAGTCCTGCTGGGAGTTTGAGCGTGAGAGAAAATAACCGAAGAAAATCGCCCGATGAATTGACGCTGTGCGAAAGAAACAAATCAAAAATTGTCGCGAAAAGAAAAAGGTTGGTTGATTTCTCTATTAGAAAAGAGATAGTACTTTTATTTTAACTTGTGTGTGTAACTTGTAACTTTCATTATAAGTTTTCATCAAAATAACTCTCATCGTCCAAGTAAGTAAATATTATTTCATTACATTAATTGTATATATCAATGTATAAACAATGAAAATTATTTACTCGATGTTGTAAAAAAGAATTGACAGCAAAATGGCTTTTATACTTTATTATAAGATTTCTTGCAGTCTTATTTGATCAGATAACTATTAAAATCTATTCAATAAATTGCCTTTTTGTATCTAATCAAATAGCAGCAGTAAATGATTTTAAATGCATTATAAGAATCGTAATTATTTTCAACGTAATACAGGCATCTTTTAATAAATGCATCTTTAAATTTAAGAAGAAGATAAAAAGATTTATCACAGCTAAATTAAATTTCCCTCTTTTCAAATTGCATTCATTTGCATGAATAATAAAATACTTACCTATTTTGTACTTTGCAGTATATTCAATTTTGTACTATGCAATATATTGCAGTATATTCTGTCAGAGAATGCTTTGTATATCTGTAGAAAGGACATTTTATCTGTCTCATTTGTCTGTTAAGTAAAATCAACGATATGATCAACAATAAGCGGGGACAACAACGAAAAAGAGGCGAAGACGAGAATGTCAAAAAACCGGTCAAACGACGTCGCATGGCTTTTTCTGCGAAACGCGCTGAAAACAATCAATTCGAACCAATCGAAGAAAATTATAAGAACGTGAACGAGGAAGATTGCAATCAGTATAAAGGCAATAAAGATAATTGTGGGGCAATTACTGACAATGAGAGGCGGAAGTCGACATCGAGCCAGGAGAACGAGTCGAGAGTGGAAAAACAGAAAGCCGGGACGAGTATCGACAACAATCGCAAAAATGTAGAGCACAAGAACGTCACGGATGATGAGGACGATGGCGATGACAACGACGACAAGTCTGATGAGGCGAGTGTTGATCATAACACGAACGGCACGATCAGAGAAATGAATGCTTAAGGAATCGAGCACCCGTCTCGAGCGATGTTTTTCTCCGGAAATGCATGAGAAACTTCTCACTTTTGTACTCTCTGTCTGATTCATTGTTTGTTGAATATATTTACTGTGTGTTTATTTTTGAGATCTATTTTGGAATTATATTTTTATTTCGCAAGCATGTGTCTATGTAATTCTTTCGATAAAATTTTTATCTTTGTGGAGAGAGAAAGAGAGAAAGAGAAAAAAAGAGAGAGAGAGAGAGAGAGAGAGAGAGAGAAATCTATTATGGAGATGTGGAATTTTATTAAAATCTTTTGAATACTGTTTTACGTTTAATAGAATACTAGATTTAATCTGGTATTTTTTTGTTAACAATAAATTAATAATAATAATTGATAACATATTTTACTTAAAGAAAGTGTGATATATATACATAAATAAATTAATGCATTTTTAATTATATAATTAAAGATTTAATATAATTTCTTTCATAAAAAAATATTCAACTCGAGAAATTCTTCAGTTTTAACTTCGCTCATATTAAAAACAAATATACCTGATGTATGGTATGATATTTATTGATTGCAACCTACACAATTTATCATTTCGAGATTGCCGATTTAATTGAAATAGGCAAATCGTTTCTGAAGATTTCAACTTTTTCTTTTTTTTCTTAATGATCCGTTACAAATCTGTACAATTTCGGGTTTTAAATCTGCTACAATCGCAAACTCAATTTACAATTAAAACGCAAATATATATAAACACGTATAAAAATATGTTTAAATGATTAAATCAAAGAATTATTATTTAATATTACGTTACTATTTGATTGCACTTAATTATTAAAGAATTCAGATAAATCGATTAATCGAACGATAATCGCAAATGACTTTGTGTTGTTAAACAAAGAAAAAGACAAGAGAATAGAAAAGCTCCGACGGAAAATGCCGTCGGTTGATATTTCCTTTTAATCTTCAATGTCTCGGAAACTTGCAGACAAAATTCGCGCCATCGGCAAATTATCCAAAAAATTCAACAAATCGAGGCAGATGTATTTAACAATCAAGAAGCAAATTTTTCATACCATCTAAAGACCAAGAAAATATCGAAATTAACAGTAAGCACACAATGGCTCGCATAAAAAAACATCGAAATGCGCAAAGCCAAATAATAAGTGAGTGATTATTTCGATGCACTAAAATATTTCGACGCACTAAAAATTTCTATCGTTTTCTCCCTCTTTTTTAACATCTTTATATATTTTTTAACCTAAGATGCAATAAACTTTATTTAAATTTTAATTAGCGATATAAAATGAACAAACTACTATTCTTTTAAATTTAATTTTCATTTATCATTTATGTTCAATATGCAATATTAATCAATATATATTTAAATATTTTATTATCATATATATTATTAATATTATCATGGTATTGTATTTATACTGCAAATTCGCTTCATTAAATCATTATCTAAATTCTTTTTCATCCGGAAAACCAGAATTATATCTCCACATGAATTAATTTGTATTATTTAATGGTAATTTTAGTTTCTTATTAAACATTATATATTAAATATACAATTATAATTTTGATATTGGTTAACATATATTCGATGCTAACAATAATCAGCATTAATAGAGTGCATCAGTATGTTTCTCTTAATTGTTCACGACTTCTCAATATAATATTAAATAACGCAAATTTAAAATTCGTATAAAGATAAGTATCTAATCAAGCTAATCTCTTTGCAGAAACCCGTCGTCGCAAGCCGAACATTCTCCAGTTAATCTACAAGTTCCTCGTCGACGATACGAAACGCGCTCTCCCGACCAAGTGTCGCTGCTGCAGCCTAGAGAACGCGTGCCACAACGAAGTCGTAGATTCCGCGGATACTTCGCGAATCGTTGACAAAAGCATGGGCTATAGAGTGCGCAAGGATAAGGGTAGGATCTCGAAAACGCGCAGCGTCAAGCGACCTACTTCCAAGGATCTGCCGATCTCGTACTTGCAAAAATGCGTGGGTGGCGAAGGTACGAAATTAATTCATCAAGCAATTATCGATTGCTGGACACACATGTGACTTAAGTTCCTATTGGGCATTTGATCATCGCTATTGAGGACGTTATTGTGTGAATTAATACGCAGACCATGTATTATTGTGCCAGTTATGCGTGAAGTACGTCTGACAATTACGTACTGTAACTACTGAATATTCTACTGCATAACCAGCTTTTCTTGTTTCCTCCCTTTTTCTTCTTTTTCTTCGTCTCCTTCTTTGTTCTTGTACAATATCGATGATTAAAAAATGTAAAGGAAAATGTATCATGTTTATAAATATTTGTTTACTACATCTATAAATATTCTACAATTGATACGACATTTGAAATATATATGAATTTGAAGTATGAAGAATTTATGCATGTATATGTTAGGAATAAAATTTTTAATAAAATTCGATACATGATGTAATATATCACATGAAATATGTGATTGATATATTAAATTTTATATCGTATAAACTTTACATATTTAATATAGAATCCAATTTATATCGAATTCAATATCTAATTTAAATATTAAATAGTCGTTGGAAATTAAATACCACGCATATCTTGGCCTAAACATATACTTTTATATTTAATATCTATATATTACAGTAACGTCATTCTAAAGAAAGAGGAAAATATGATAGCTGAAAATAGTTACTTGTTTAACTTTTCGCCTCGAATAAATTTTACAAGTTTTCTTTGACAGGAACGAGGAAGGCGAGAAAGTACATTAAGAAGGCACTAGACTTTGCTGTCGAGTCTGGTTATCTCATTCCTTCTGACTCTACGTATAAAATTCTACACGTTTCTTCGGATTTGATGAAAAGTGATCCTCCGACGAGCAGAATTAACACATGTGATAAGGCCCTGTCTAAGGAGCGCGACACACCAACCAGGCTCGAAGACTTCCAAGTGCAAGAGCAAAGGAGAAGACGAAGGAGAAGACGAACGAGACGAAGGAGACTCACACGGGGTCGAAGATCGAGAAGCGACTCGAGAAGACGTCGCAGAAGCAGGAGGAGGAGGAGGAGAAGGAGGAGGAGGAGTAGGAGCAGGTCACCCAGCAGAGTGCGCAGTAGAAACAGCAGGTAATTGTCAGACGTAATTACGCGTAATAATGCGTAGTCTATGTATTAATCCCCATAATAATGTTCTCAATATATCGTGCAATATAGCATGATTAAGATCCTGAGCGCGAGGTTCTATAAATTATAAATTCGAAAAATATCATCGCGAGAGAAACACGAGCACGATAAAAAAGCGAAAAATAAACTTGATGTAACACTTGAATTGCGACTTGATTTTTCTTTACAGTAAAGCAAATGAAACATATTTATCAGTAACATAATTTAGTGTTAACACAATGTAAATTAGTAACATTAGTAATTAAATTTTACAATATAAAATCAGTTAGATGTAAATGAAAGGTAAAATATCTATTATGTGAAATCTTCATAACTCTGATTAACGTTCCTCTAATAATACGCGTCATCGTACGATCGATGAAATTATTTTTACCTCCGCATAATTGTCCCTGTTAGGCGAAATAATTAGAGTCTAGCGTCATAATCGCTCAGAGTGTTTGCACTCTGTGCCGTAGTGTAAGTCTAGAAACGCGATAAAACGGTCAAAGGGATTTCCAGCCCGCAGAATCCCGAAGAGGTTGCCGAGGATGAGGCGGACGATTACGAGATGGATGAGAACGATCGAAAGAGCAATATTCACACGGGCGACATAGAAAGGGAGCCAAAGACCACGCGATCGAACCAGCCCGACGAGGGGCAATCCACGAAGAAGACTAGAGAAAACGACTCGGATTTATCTGTCGACGAGGATGAAACAGACGACGAGGAAGATAAAAAGAGGACTGACATTACGAAATCTTAACCATCGAACCTCATTACAATTTTTTTTAAAAAAAGCTTTTGTTTAATATTAATAATTTAACAAACAACAGAAAATTAATTTTGTGTACAATCGCCCGATTTATTTTTTGATATTCGTTTATAATCGCAAATATGTGAACAATGTAAATGTATATGGTCGTAATTAGACTCAATATGTATGAAGCAATATTAATATACTATATATATATATATATATATATATATATATATATATATATATAATCCAGAAATAACATCTGATTGCGTCATTCAATCTTACAAATATATAACCATCATTTATCGAATCTCGGGAAAGAGATGTGGTAGATTTTATTTCAGGATCGATCACAAAAATATTCGATTGGAAGTGATATAGAAAATTGTTTTTAGCTTAAAACGCTGGACCCTTTTCAAAGTAACTGCCAAGACCATTTTAAAAAAAGAATTATTTTACGACTTTGCGAATTTACAACACTCGGAGGTAAAATTTCTCTCGCGGATTTATGATGTCGATCGTCGGATGAAATTCTTTTCGGGATATCCTCGAGTTATAGGTGTCTCTGTTTCGAAGATACAATTCAAGATCTCTAGCAGATAAGATACAAACATCGGGCACGCCGATCACGCTGTGGTAAAACACGTAATCCACGTTATATCGAAATGGAATCCGAGGATCTTGCGAACGGAACCTTGAATTGCGTGTCCCTTTCATACGTTTCCGTGTGAATTGGAATCAATTCCGTCAGCAATCCAGGATAGATAGATGTTACAAGATACTGTAAATCCTAAAAAAGCTTTTGCCAAAAATACTGATCTGATACAAGTTTTATTTATAATGGTGGAGTACGAAAAGATAGCGATGGAGATGGATGATCACCAATGGAGATGCCAACAGAAACGCGAATATAATATAATAATTTATCAAAGATTGATAATTATCACAAAAAATATTAGAATAACATGGCTTAAAAATTCTCTTGGAAATCTAAAAAATAATCAGAAACAAAAAAAAATAATTATTAATAATTATATTACTTATTATTCTACACTTTTAAATAGATACACGTTTTATAATATTTGTTATATTGATTCATAATATTTGTTACTAAAATAATTTCTCTCCAAAATACGTAATCTTTTAAGAAAATATTTGAAAATTTTAATTAAATAAAATTAATATTTATTGTAAAATTATTTCTACAATTTTTTATTTTTATTTTTATTTTTATTCTTATTCTAAAAATTATAAAGAGAAGAATAATAATACAAATTATTTACCTGAAGAAAATTTATAGAAGAGAAATTATTTACTACATTGATGTAAAAAATAGATAATTTTTTAAATTAAATTAGTACTTTCTTTTATTGTTGCGTAAATATAAGAAAATAAAAACAACAAGGGACAAAAATATGAATTCAGAAAATAAAAGCGGACTTTTTTCGTATAGACTAGGTAGGTTTCATCTTACAAACAAGTAACCCACAAGCGATGAGACAAAATTGGCTATTAGCCAAATTACGTGGAGTCCCCCCGAGAAGTAATATTCGACGTGTGCACGTGTCACACGTGACAAAGGGACGGAATGTTGGAAGATATCAACGCGTTTCTCTATGGTGCGATAAGGTCGGAAAGAGAAAAATAAAGCCTAAAGATTGCGGAAATTGTGTACGATTGCCATGACAGCAAGAGATAGTTCTTAATTGGAAACATATAGTCCTCAGTTAGAACAATCAGTCACGAGCCTGTCTACAAAATATAAACGTAGAACTTGCGGAATTTTCATCTCTCAATATGCAGAATAATTGAGAATCCGCTGTCCGTATCATCACATCGAGATTACGTGAAATAATTAGTTTCGTAATAGGCAACGACAATACCTCTTTAATTTGAAAGCTTAACATAAGCTTCGTGTGTCTATTATTAATTTTGTTAAATTAGTGAAAAAAACTTAAAAAAATATATATAATTTATATAATTTTTTAAACTAAATTTATGAAATATATATTTCTCTCTTTCCTCTGTTTTTCTCTCTAATATGTGAATTAATATTGTAAACGCTTTAAACTTTTTCAAATTGTGATATACGCTATTTTTTTGTTACAAATATTTTTTTTAAGCAAGTTTCATCAATTTATATTATATTGAACACAAACGATGCGAAAAATATTAATTTATTCTAATGTATTGCAAAATAAAATCACATGATATTTTGGTTTTATGCAATATTTATAAAATCTAGCTCAAGGAAAAATTAAAAATTTTAATTTTCAAAAAACTCACGCTTTAAATAAAATATTTAATGCTTTTTAAAAATGAAATCGTTTGCATGAGTGAAAAGTCATGTAATTTATTATTAAACTTCGAACGAAATTTATATGCTTCATTCCCCTATAACTTTAGAAAAGGACTTTTATTCTTGTAAGTCTCGCCATAAACACTATGTTCATTTTATAAAAAAGAATAGGGGAAAGTTCGAGCGCATTGGAGAAACGATGGATAGAATTAGTTTTTCTAGGAAGAGAAAAATTATTTTCCTTCACTAAAACAATATACAATTTTCACTTATTAAAATTAAATTAATAATATTGGATAATATCTCTCTCTCTCTCTCTCTCTCTCTCTCTCTCTCTCTCTCTCTCTCTCTCTCTTTCTATATATATATATATATATATATATATATATATATATATATAGAATTATTTTTTAAATTCGCGATTATTCTTCAAGTCTCTTATTGATTATTTATATTCTGTTTGAATAAAAAATAAGTTTAAAATATATGCTTTTAATCGACATATTTTTTATTAATACACGAAGCCTTTTAGATGCCATTGATTAATGTTTTGTAGTTTTCTTAAATTTAAAATTTTAATATTATAAAGTTAATAATTAATGGTTTAGTACTAAAATTAAGAAATTTAGAAAAATGAAATTAATCAATTTAATTTCTAAAAGGCTTATATAATAATCAAAATTAAATACTACTAAATATTATTCGTATAATTTTACTTGTGTATTATTAAATAATTATGAAATAGAATCTCATTACGTTATATAACTTTATGTTCATCGATCAAAAGCTACATACTAAGAATCCTGCGCAACAGAACTTGTTACAAATACTATAAAACTTTACGTAAGTCCAGCTTCCAGGTTATGACACGACTCTCGTTCAATTGCATCTCGAAGTTCCCACTTAGGATATTTCCGTTGCATTTGCAAAACTGAACAATCGTATCGTGACCTTGTCTAGCTTTTAAGCTTCTGAAAAATATATATGTGTATCAAGCACTATCTATCATCTTTCCATTTCTTTCTATTCGAGTCTATTCTTTTTAAAATTCGATTGCAAACATATATCGTAAATTTTTTTTATATTTATTTTCCTTATTTTTTCTGAGAAATATATAAAATTCTTTCTAATAAATATATGAAGAATGAAAAAAAGAGAAAGAAAAATTAAATTAAAAACAATTTAGTTATTAGTATAAAATTTTTATTCTACTAGATATTTTTTTACATCTTCAAGATAGTATATTCTTCGCATAGTCTTATTTTATCTAAGGCTATCTTCTCTGCATGTAATTATATTTTACATGCAAATTATGAAAGGTTTTAAATTGAATTTAAACATCTGAGTAACGAATAGATAAGAAAGTTGTGCGCAAATCTAATTTATAGTGGATAGTTTATCTTTTACAGAAGCTCCAAACAACTGTTACTTAAAACAAGTATATGATGCTGTATACTTGTAAGCATACATCATTTTCTTTATTCTTCAGCTTAGTGGCTGTCTTCCAAGATAAGTTCTACAAGAGCGACAGGATGAAGTGTGACTAATACAAGATTACATCTTGGTAAAAACAAAGTCAACATTCTTTCGTTCACGACGAGGGACACTCGACTTCCTCCAGACCGAGCGCGATTCGATCCTGTGTACGCATATATATACGATCGCATCTCTACGGATCCTCCCCTCTTATCTAGCTACAATTACATACGATGGAAAGAATCGCGCGACCTTGACTGGCCCGTGAACCCTAGCCCGAAATTTACGAGCGATCATTCTTTCCCGTCGTCTTTTCCCACCCACATCCTCCTCCCGCGGACGGACTTCGCGCCAGAGCCATCCACCCTCCGTCACCATCGTCGCGCCGTATTGTCCCGAGCATTATGTTCGTCCCGCTCACTCGACTGAGGGTGCGTCGCGTCCCTCCGCGCGGTGCACACATCGAGAGGGGGAGAGAACGGATCGATCGCGGGGGTTGCATCACGCCTTTCCGAGAACGAGAACGACAACGACTACGATGGGACGCAACATGAGACGTTTTCCCGCTTCGATAAAGCTCTGCGTCTTCGTCTTGGTCAATGTAGTCTTGTCGTCGTTGACCGGCGAACGGACGAACGTCCAGTCGACGATTGCGCACCACGTGGACTTGTGATCCGCGGCAGCGTCCTCTGGCAAGCCGCATCATCGGGGAGGTTGAATGTCGCGGAGGAGGCAGCGGCGGCGGCGGCGACGGCGACCCGATGTTGGCAGGCGCGTCCGCGTACTCTCCCTCGAACGCCGCCGGAGAACGAGAGGAGAGAACGACGGCGGCTCTTCAGTCTGCACGCGGCGTCGCGACGCAATCCAGCCCGCGTGCATCGCGCTCTCGTGTGCTTGCCATCTCTCTTCGAAACTCAATGAAATCGACTTTTCTTGAGACAAATTGATCCGGCGGGTGATCCGGCAATCTCGAGTCCTTTCTGCCGAATGATCGAGGGATTGAAGACGGAAGTGCGGCATCGCGATCATTGAATCATTGAATCGGCGGAGTCAGCCTTGGGTAAGTCGATGATGTGCTGATTAATCATTCGACTGCTTTCGATCGGAATAATCGATATATTGATATATCTATAGAATAAGATCTGCTGGATGAACTTTGATTACTTTCATATAAATTATTTTCATGGTTCTCGCAAAAGGGAGGATCTTGAATTCGGAATGTGATCTTTTTGAGATCAAAATTTACAGGGAAATTAATTGGATAATAAGCATGCACTTTGCATATTACCGGAATTTTAACTCATCAGTTATAAGAAACGGAATGTGCCTTTTCAAGACGGGATAACTTGACGACCAATAAACACGCCCTTGCATGGGATCAAGCACGCTTGCTTTATAAATGCAAAGAGTGCGACACGAATATCATTAAGATTCCGTCAACACGATCAATGTGTATTAAAATTAAAGTGAATAATTTTATTAAAGGGAAAAGTCTTCGATGTATAATTGAAGGCTCGCGTGTCTACCCTTTAATTAATTTATCAATCGTTTACATTTAATCATCTCTTACTAGTTAATAGATCATTTCGATCGCTAAATTAATACCTTACACACAAAGGTATTATCAGCGTTTTACATTTAAGTTGTTTTTACGCTGATCCCTGATCAATAAATTACTATTAATTTTGTGATCTGATTTTAAGCATAATGTAGCAGAGTCATTTAAATTTTGTTTTAATGTAATCGAGAAAGGAAACAATTGAAGACAAGAGAAGGAGACAATTTGACGTATTTTTCAAATGAGATAATTATATTTCTTTCTAAATAATTAGATATTTCTTTTTTAATAATTAGATTTCTTTAACTGTGCGTCCAATATAATATCAGATATGTGAAATAAAATATAAAAATATACTAAAATGTATGTATTTTTTCATTTTTATTTTACAGAAGAATCAAATTATAATATACCTATTTATAGATTTGATATAAACATTTAATCCGCTACGCTTGGGCTCAGCTTCCTTTCTTTTCGCTTCAGAGCTTACACGATGATAAACTGCTCGCGGATGAACCATCGCTTCCGTTTGTTTCGAAGCCGCAAATCATTCTAAAGGCTCCATCGAGACGAAAGCGAGATCGATTCGCCGTGGCAATTATTCTTGCATATTACGAACGGTAAGCCGACGGCGGTGGCACTAAAGGAGATAGTTATGCATTATGCATTGTTAATCTAGTCTAACCTCGCCGCGCGAGCGGTAATAGCATTGAATTTCGTTCAGGTTCGACGCGTGATAACATAACATCTGCCACCCACATCGCGTACGACACGTATTTCGGACACGTTCCGGTAAGACAAAGCGGGCATTTTCTCTCTCTCTCTTTCGTGTGACAAATTTCCATATTCTAATCTGATCAATTAATGTGTTCCGCAAAATGATTTCTTTCAACGATAAGAAAATGAATAATTAAATAATAATTTTAACAGAGATAATTAGATGTAGATTAGTTTAAAAATTTTATGTGTAAAGTGTCTCTATAAAAAGCTAAATAAATTTTTTATGAAATGAAGATATGATCTCTTTCAGACGTGTATAATATAAATCGGGAAACTCGAAGCACACGAGAGTGCGATGATAATTTTCTTCGCTTGTCGCGAATGACAATGATACAGTGTGATATTAATTCTTGCTTATCAGTTAAATAAATAATACAAATGTTAACAGCAGTAACAAAAATGTTTATACATTTTTTATTTTTTATAATTTATTTTCTAATAAAATGTCTGGTGCATGTCTTATGCAAAGAGAAAAGGACATGTGTTAGTTTAAAATGCGACATTAAAATGTGACATTTTAATAATATTATGCAAAAGAAAAATAATTTCTTAGATACATTTTCTTTGCAGTAACAAATCTCATTTACGGTACTATCTAGACTTATCTTATACATTTTTCTTCGGCGTAATTGCATTGCTGTTGTCTTCTAAGTAAACACAAGGATGCGTATCAGCCCATTCTCAAAAAGGACAAATATAGATTACGAGAAAGCACTTTCATTTTCTGCGCGTTGGAAACACGTTAAAAAGCTTCGAGACTATGAGCAATTTTGCAAAGTACACAATCTATACTCATATAGATGCACGCGCTCGTCGGTCAGTTGCACATATTGAATGGGAGAGCCGTTTTACGATTTTAATTCTATTTTTATGCGAGAAAATCCTGCCTTCATCCAAATTGACGTCAAGTTGCGCGGCAAAATCATCGCGAAACCTGTTAAAATATTTTTAAATGTAACTCCATTTACACAAATCCTCGAGGGAAAAAATATATAGTGAAGGGATAATGGCAAACTAGAGATTTGTCCGTATCCAAATAGTCTGATATATAGGTACTTTAAATACAGGAAATTAACTTCCGCAATTCTGAATAAATTTAAACCCATCGTCGGGATTTCCTGGTTAAGATAACATTTGATGGAAAATATTCATTCCGACATCAGCAGGCACGTCCGAAACATAAAGAAAGGACAGAAAAAAAAGAACTGTTTATTACTTAGACTACTTAGGAAGGACGAATATATAATACATATGCGCGCTAACTCATCTCTATTTTTACGCTTTTTCGTCACCTATTTCCTTGCATTATTTTTAATTTTAATCTATGCTTTGGTCTATTACTTCTTTATTTTTTACGTTATACATATCTATGAGTTACAATCAATCATTTTTCTATGGTGGAGCTAGCGTTGCAAATCAAACTGTCAATATGCAATTTATCATTCATTCCAAACTTGCACGTGCAGATATTTGCATATTTATATTATAATATATATATATATATATATATATATATATATATGCAGATGTATATGCATATATATATATATATATATATATATATATATATATATGCATATACATCTGCATATTTATATCACCAAAAGATAGTCTGTTATTTTAAAATAAAATTGTTTATGAGAGGAAAGAAATAAATATTAATTTAAAATCTTAGTAAAATTAAAGTTTACTTACAAGGAGATAGAAAAACAATATTGGCCATTTCAAAAATCTGCATTTCATGTACACTTCAATGCTAGAAAATTATAAATCATAGCCTGTTAAAGAAAGAAAAAACAAAGAAACCCGAAATTATAATATATAAACACATATAAATGAAAAATATGAATATATAATAATAATAATAATAATGATACAATAATATATAATATAATAATAATAATGATACAATAAAACAATAATCCGAAATTCCATTGGTTCTGCTGACGGAACAAACAAAAAGCAAAAATATTTCGAACAATTACCTAGATTCCTACGTTTATGATTGACAAAAGCATAATTCCATCAGATCAAAACTTTGCTCTTCGCTCCATGAAGACTAGACTGCATTTTCACTTCTTCGTCATTTCTACGAAACAGACAATTTCATAAAAAAGTTTTCGCGTACTAGAATGCAGCAGCAGTAGCGTAGGATAAATCACAGTCAAGGTTTTTTGGAAAAACCTTGTTTTTCTACAACCGTTGGACCTTAAACAAGAATGTTTGAAAATTACACGAAAAATTATCCTGCTCAATTTGCGTCAGATTCATTGACATACGCACTTCTCCCTTTTCATTACTATCGTTAGTCCTTTGAATTCATTATTTTTCAGTCTTTATTAGTCTCTAATGCTTGATTTCAATAAAAATATTAAATTTTATATAATAATTTATCAAAAATATAATTAATTTAAAATCTTAAGCAAAATTTCTTTCAGTAATAGTAAGAGATTAGTTTTCATTTTCTTTATATCTATGCTTTCATATCGTATATATATATATATATATATATATATATATATATATATATATGTATATATATATTAATTATAAAATAATAGTAAAAAATTGAATTTTTTGCACAATTTCCAGAAACATTCTAATTGATGTGCTGATAATTAGCATCTCCAATGTTTTTCTACCATGCTTGAATTATTTCTTCGTCAAAGTATTATATGAAGAAGAATCACCGTTGTCATCGTACTCGATAAATTGCTAAGCAAAAAAAACAAGAAAAAAAAGAAGAAAATTGAAACAGACCATTTTATCTCCCGCGGGAGCCATTTGTAGTCTAAATAGTCGAATCAACGGGGGTGATCCCCGAATCTACACGACAATCTGCTAACGTAAAGAGCCTCGTATCGTCGAGGACGCGCGATAATCGAGCAAGTATCATGCGAGCAGTATCGCAAGATATACGAAAATGGGAGATACGGGAAAACGAGTCGCGTCAAATCAAATTCAATACGACACACGCAAGCACGCACAAACGGAGTCATATCAAGCGAGTCGTCGTTTCAAACTAGTTGTCGTTCACTTATCAACTTCAGCCCTCGAGCATCCTCGGGTATCGCATTTAACGTACGGTCGATACTCCTGCTTGTGCTTTTTCCTCGTGCAAAGTCTGATCCTGCAGATACAGGATGGATCGTCTCGATATATTTATCTAAGAGAGGAATCGACGTCGAATATCGACAATGTCGAAATAATACGACGTGTGTATTTCGCCGCGTATTGAAGCATCTTGTGTGAATACAATAGTTGTTCTTTCGACGCAAAACAATATGAAATATTTGTTTTACTTCTTGTACAACGTTGAATCCATACACTCGTCGTTGATAAGAGCGAAATTATGTTTGAAAGCGAAATTACTTTTTCTTCAGTTCCATATTAAATATTATATGTGTGAGAACAAAGTTTTCAGTGTCACAAAAAATATGGACTAGCGGAACTCGCTAGCACTCTGTTATGTAATCCCATCGCATATAATTGTTTCGAAAAGGAGAGAAAATCAGCGTCGACTCTCTACTTTAATCTTCCGATATGTGTGAAATCTTCGGATCGATAAATAAAATCCAATTCCATTTTGCGAACTTCCGGTATCTATACTTTTAAAGGGATAAAAAGAATCGCCTGTGCGAAACGATTCTCTTTCGAGCTTTTCATAAAACGCTCCGTAGGAAGAGCACCGTAAGAAGAGTCGAACGGAATTTTATTCCGCAGATTAATTTTTAGTACAATGATGCTTGACAGTTGAGAATGGTGAATACTTATTCAAAAGACGATAATGGATCCATCGCGAACATTTTTTCGCGTAAGAAATTATCTCCCATGCAAAAAATAGATTTCTCATCTTATTCCCGTACGCTTCTTTAACATTGTACTTTAAAACGGCGTTCACCCGTAATGCGGATAAACTAATTAAAGATGGAAAAATTATCTCTCAACGAAGCTTGAGAGACACTGCACGCCTACCAATTTTTCTCCGTCGAGCATTTCAGAGGGTGACAGTGCCTACGCTCGATACTTAGAAAGGGGGTATTGCTCCACTATAAACCCAGATTCTATTTTTGGCACGCGGTCTAGGCTTTAGATTGCGCGTCACGTGGCCGCGCGCGACTGCATCGCGTTCATTTCCGGGTTCGATCGCCCATTCTTTAACTACAGATCGGAGTCGTTTAATGACAGTTATATTCTGCCATTTTATCGAGAGAGAAAAGCCGAGAGAAGAGATCGGGCGCGAGTATGCAAAGGAGCTCCTCGCCTTCTGCTTTGTTAGGCTCGCTTTGCTTCGTTGTTTCAAGTTTCATCTAAAAGCAAAAGACTGATGTGGAATACCGCATCAAAACTCATTTAATGCGTTTATCAATGTTCAATTTATCGCAGAGAAAAGCTTTTAAACTCTTGGAACAGCTGTGAAGTATTCAATGTTTGAGTTTTAAAAACTTAAATAATTAATAACAATAAATATGTATATTATGACGTATAAATTTAATAAATAATCAAAGAGTTGCTTCGATGATCATCTTGTGCGCATTTAATTTTTTTTCATTATCTTGCATTTTTGCTTATTCGAGACATTTCACTTGATATAATTTGGTAAAAGTAGATCATGATGAATAATAATAATCTTACAGTTTTCCTCTGTAAAGAAGAATATACCTCACCGTAGACCGTATGAGGATGACAAGGGTTCAAACGCATGGTGCACTTTGTGATCATAAATAGCATCACGTATTCAAAGTACACTGTTAACACTAATAATGATGCTTTACTTATTTGTTGAACATTATTTGCACCCTTCATTCGTACTCTGCAAGAAGTAGGAATTATTAACATTAGCGATGCACACAAAGCGTGCAACTCAAACCATTAAATAATCGAGGATGCAACATAATAAAAACTACTTCTGATAGTATTATAACTTGTTCCGTATTCTATATAACTATTTCCGTATTTCTCTTTCTCTCTCTCTCTATTTTAATTATATATAAGTATCTTAAAACTACTTATAACTAAAAGCTACCAATTACAAGTTATAAACGTGTAACATGTAATTAATCTATTCAAGTTAACATTATACAGGTAAAATAAATAAATATAATTATTGCCTTCTTTTAGCATTTGTATTATAGATTTAAAGATTGTCATTTGGTGCAAAATAATCTATTAACGCAATATTTTTATTCATAAAATGCATATATAGAAATAGGAACAATAAGTACATCCCACACGTCGTCTATGTACATGAGATTGTGATTGTAATCCAATTATAGAGCTGTACGAGCGAAGTGAAAAAAGCCTGAATATTACATCGTGGAATTTAATGTGCTTGTAAAGGCAATCGAACGTAAAAAAAATTTGTTAAATCGAATTGATCGATTTGCGACCAGCGAATTCACGATCACGAGAACAATATGACCTGACAGATTTTATTGTCAATGTTGCCATACCGTCGATCTCAGAATAAAATTTCGTCTTCAGAGTGTCTTGGCTTCACGCTTTTGCGCCTGCATCTTCTGAAAACTCGTGGAAATCGTGAAGAGCGACGACACCGTCACTCTTGGAGAGCATCCTGTCAACTAATCGCATAATAGGGAATTATCCCCAGTTATCAGAGAGCACGTTGTCGCATAGATAAATTAAGAGAAAATTAAATTTCTCGTCTGACGTAAAAATGGCCGCCGTCGGAATGATTCGTGATACCTCTCAACATCAAATTGCTATTTTGTCCCGGCGGAAGAGGATGTATAAATTCGTTATTAATCGACGATCTCTTTCCGAATGCCTTTTATTTCATCAAACTATTTTCGTGCAGTATATTATATTGTAGTAAATAATCATAAATGATTTGTTTATTATGTTATATAAATATAATAGTAATCATATCATATATGTAATATGAATTTTTTTCGTTATTTTTCTGACGTGTTTAATGATTTCGAGAAACAAAACTCTCATGCTCTCTCATAAGGCAATTAAATAACTGTAAAATAGGTCAACGATGTTACAGTGATAGCAATAAAAAAGAAGATCGTGAAAAATACAAAACAGAGTATCTTTACAAATGTTATTGAATGTTTTCAACATGTAATATTTTTAATTTACGAGAACCATTTTCAAAAGTAAGTGGAAACAACTTGAAATTTGACAGACGGAAAAATTAAACGGTTCAAATGTGTTTTGGACAGTTAAATACATGTATTACGAGAGAGAATAATTCCACGCGTGATAAATATTGAAAAATCACTGTAATAAGAAATATCAGTAAAAACATAGATGCGCCGAGTTACACGACTTATCTGAAGCACATCAAATGCGTGCGATAAATAGAAATAGAAAGAGAAAAGAGGCGCGATTTTAATTGATCGATCGCTAATTATAATCCTCCAACTATTTCCATCGGCGAAAAGCCATGCAAAGATTTCTTTGTAACGCGAGATTGATATCAATGAAATCGATTTAATGCATGCAAAGAACATATAAGCGAAGGGAGTAGAGTATGTAATCCTAACAATTGTTACACGGAAATAAAGAGGAAATATTCGCAATAAATATGAATAGTAAAACAAAAGCACAAAAGTATCCGCGTATTGTAAAATAAATTGTGTTCATTGTACAAAATGAAGATATTATTAACGACAATGATGCTTATAGATATGATACGGTGTATCTATATACACCCACACGAGAAAAATATTAATTGTTTTTTACTCTATAAAATGACTACTGTATAATACAGTGTTTCATTTTCATCGTAAATTTTTTTTGCAGGCCTTGGAGTATTATAATGCCTTTACGTATTATATTCCGCTCACGCTTTTTCCGCATCATTTCCGCTACATCAATGCAAGCCTTCGACAATTTTTATAAAGCTGACGATGAAAAAGCTATGTTTCGTATTTCTCGATAATAGTAAACAATAATAAATAAATATGAACAATATATGATATAATAATTTAAAATAAAATATGTAATATTAAATATAATTTATGATAAAGTAATAATAATTAAATAAATAAATTGAAATAATAAACATGATCAAGTAACAATAATAATATGCAAGTTTATTTTTTACTGCGTGCCAGT